ACATACTGACAGGAACATAAAATACGCCATCATGTTAGAGCCGTTCGAAGACATCCGATGTATCCATAGACACGTGTGAATAATTGATACAACAGCGTGTCGCCTTGGCGAAACAAAAACATTTCTTTCCAAGTATAAATATTCCCAAAGTGGCAGATTGCCAAAGAACATTTCTAATTCCATTTAAAAGTTAAAAACTACTCATAATTATCCAGTTGGTACAATTATCCGTAGGATAATGGTTCCTGGTTACTGATGTTTCCCAGCATCCACTGTCCTGTTCCAGACAGTCATTCCTTGAATTCATTCACAGTCGGACATTGTTTCCTCTGATTAGTATTCAAGGTCGGCTGAATGTAGATGGGTTCAAGGAATCTGATATGCTCACACATTAGGCACCATGTCTCAGTGTCTGGTGCTAATCTTGGGATACACTGTGTCAGTAGTGTTCTGGAAGCATAGACGTCAGTATGTTACCCAGGTTCATTGTCTCACAAGTCTACTTGCCGTTTGTTGGTTAAAACACGGCTGTATATCATTGTACCTTGCATGTGGCAGTCAGCTTGTAGCAGTTAAATAAAATAATTTTCTTCTTTCTTCTTCTTTCTGCTTCTTCCTTCTTTTTCCATCTTCCTTTTTCTCCTTCTTCTACTACTTCTGTTATGTTTAGTCGCCGTGATGATGCGGGTTATAATTGATCTTCACAAACCCATGCTTGTCATAGGAGGGGACTATAGGGATCGGAGGGTCAGGCTCGCTGACTTGGTTGATGCATATCATTGTATCTCAGTTGCGAAGATCGATGCTCATGATGTCAATCACTGGGTTGTCTGGTCCAGACTCTATTATTTACAGCTGGAATATTATACAGCTATTATATAGCTGGAATATTTCTTATGTAGAGCGTTAAACAACAAACAAAGTGTTATGTTTAGTCAACGTATGACAGGAGTGGTGGAGTGGCCGAATGCTCGCCTAGACACGGGTTCTATTCCTCACATGGTTGCTCTTTTTTAGTGTACCCCTGCCTTTGTTGGAATACTGCTGACATCAGCGCCATACTCACTCATCCGCTGAACCAGACCGCCTCCGTGGTCTAGTGGATAGACCATCTGCCGGGAGGACGTTCGGTGTTCGATCCCCGGCCGCGTCACTCCAAACGACGTTAAGAGATGATACTTGTTGTTACTCTGCCTGGCAGTGGATAAAACAAGGACTGGTCGGCTCGGGGTCTGTATACTCTGTCTAAGTGGGGTATCCATGTTCAACTGCAGCATGGTATCTCATATCTTCCCGAGGCAAGGGAGTTAACTGACTATAAAAGTCCAGTTTCCACCCTTGCCGAACTAGGCTTGCATTATGGAGTTACATTTTGGCTGGACTATCGAGTCTATGCATAGTCCAATCAAAATCGCGCAACGAAATCGAAATCCGGTTCGTAAACTGTCGTACAGATTTTGGTCGATTGCATGTGCACTGCCAACTCGTTGTCAACAGATATTTTCCAAATGGTTTCATGTTTTTTAATTAAGGTGCTAACGTGATTTGATGCATTTCGCGATGTAAGACCCGTTTTATCACAAAATGGATCTTGATTATCGATCAGATCGTCCTGACTGGGCGCCGCCATTTTGTTTGAAGCAAATGCAAGTGATTCGAGAAGAAGAATCTGATTGGTCCATGGGAGAGAGCTGAGAAGGGACATAACTCGTAAGAGCCACTGGTGGCGCTACGATCGAGCCCAGGAATTCCAGCCAAGTTCGGCAAGGGTGGAAACTGGACTTTTAAAGTCAGTTAACTCTCTTGCCTCGGGAAGATGGGTATGTCAGTGAGCCAGCACTATAAATCGGACACACACACATACACACACGCACGCGCGCGCGCGCACACACACACACACACACAACACGTGCATTCACGTCGCTACTTAACTGCAATATTCTTGAAAGCCACCTTAAACTTCCTTTCACAAAAAAGGTGACACAGGTAACTTATTTAACCAAAACTTTCGTGGTCTGATGGTGTGCATCATACACTGTGTGCTTATTCAGCCATGTATACGGTACGATCTTTCGCAAAGTATTTTCTTCAATAAAGAAATGATAATTGAATTTCATAGGACGAGTCTCAGTAGCAGCAACCACCCTGTCACCTGCATCTTGTCACGGGAGATGCGGAATATAGAGTTGTGTTTCTATAATGACCCCTGAGACTTCCTTCACACCAGCCTCATATTCTTCACATAAAGTATAAAGGAATTATATGCCACAACTGGTCGTGGATGTACATTTTACGAACCATTTTATTTTTACTGTATAACTAATGTAATTGCCTTTAAATGTTCATTGGACAAAATAATATTTATGGTCTGAGAAATAACTCTTTGTTTCGTTTTGTATGGTGGACAAAACTATTTCCATGATAATAAGACGTCTTTACTAAAAGAGTCCATTGTACGATTCAGACCATATCTTAAGCATGTGTTTATGAATCACCATCAAATAGTGATGACACCAGGTTTTATTACATGTGTCTCTGTTCCAAAACTTAAACATCCTATCTGTTGTTGCTGAAGTAAGTTGTGCTTTAGCTGTATTCAACAATACCAAGGGCCATCAGCCGGGTCACAGCTCTGGATTGATCTATCTTTGGGTATAATAAAATAAAGTCGCATTGAACAATGTCGGCATGGTGCTGTACCTGCCTGTAACCGGCGTGGTTATTGTTATAACTAATCAAAACAATTGTATACATGGTAATTAAACAGAAAGTCGTTGTGCAGAGTGCAGATACCTCTGATTGTTGGTTCGAATCCCGGTTCGCCCCGATTATGTTGCCAGGTCTGTCGACATCATAACTGCGTTTGTTGGTTTTGCAAGTGATAAAGGTCTGAGACCTGCATCATTTCGGACTTGCCTAAGCTGACATGCCGTGATATAACAGGAAAACTGTTAAACCCAACTCACTCACTGACTCAAACGTAGCCCCCGGATCTGCATGTCGAGGTATCAGGAAATATTTTACGGGAACTTCTTCTGATGTTTAATTTCGTTCTGTTATTACTGTTGGAGACAGTTGTGTTCATCAAAGTCTCCAGATAATGTACGGGTTACATTGCCAGAACCAATGCCTTAGAAAAAGTCAAGGGCAGGTGTTTCGTCGTTTCCTCTATCGCTCTTTTTTGCTGCAATTAACAGAAACAATCAGTGGTCTCTTGTGTTTCTTTGTTCAGAAATCGCCATTCTGTAATTAAGCTGAAGTGAGGACGTAAATATACGCTGTGCAAATATACTTGAAATTACCAGATCTATGCTAGAAACCGGACCGCGTCAAAACGGCACCAAAGCCGCAGTGCTGCCCGTCGAATACTGCAACGGATCTTACACTGTTTGTTTGTTTGTTTATTTCTTTGTTGTTTAACGCCACACTCAGCAATATTCAAGCTTCATGACGGCGATTTTTAAATAACGTAGTCTGCACCAGACAATCCAGTGATTGACATCATGAACATCGATCAACATGACTGGGATAAGGTAGACACAATTTTGTGGATAACAACTTCTTTAATACTGTAAAAAGCGACGTTTCGGTATAGATCCTTATACCGTTGTCAAGCAAGACTGAATGAGGGACATAGTACAGAATATATATGGTAGGTGGAGGATTAACAGTAACAACAATTGCATACATGAGTCGCTTTTCACAGTATTAAAGAAGTTGTTATCCATAAAATTGTGTCTACCTTGTCATCCGTCAACTTCGAAGTAATGCCTATCAAACAATTTATTACTGGGATACGGTGACATGCATCAACCAAGTCAGCGAGCCTGACCACCCGATCCCGCCAGTCGCCTCTTACTACAAGCATAGTTGTCGCCTGTTACGGCAAGCATTGGTTGCTGAAGACAAATTCTAACCCGGATGTTCACGGCTTTGATCTTACACTGTACTGCCACACAATAAAAACGCAAAATAAACTTTAACTCGAAGGACAAAAACAAAACGATTTCAGCAGTAAATATTTACAAGCATGACAAAGAATAATTACTGTGTGACAAAAATGACATTGTTATGTTTGATTATCTCATGCCTAAATACACGAACAACTTATTTTAATTTGTGTGACCACTTTGGCAAATACTTAAAATATGGATTTTTCGTTTTTCGTTTTTAAAGTGTTTCAGTATATTTTGAAAAAAATATTATTAAACATGAGGTACGTATGACCTAATCTAGATCTACATGTGTGGGGCGGTCGGGTAGCCTAGTGGTTAAAGCGTACGCTCGTCACGCCGAAGACCCGGGTTCGATTCCCGACATGGGTACAATGTGTGAAGCCCATTTCTGGTATCCCCCGACGTGATATTGCTGGAATATTGCTAAAAGCGGCGTAAAACCATACTCACTCACTCACATTCAAGTGTACTCTTCCGTAAAATGGTAAGATATTACTATATTACACACTAAGGCGATAACGAATATGGAGAAGTTGGCTTACACAAGTAAACATTTGTCTAAAACTATTTTGAACATGTACAAACGGACGTTTTTTTTATGTAAGATTTAAAGTTTAATTCACTAAAATTATTTATGTTTATGTTCTTTCACGGACCTACAGAACCCTGGTTCGTTTAAATTTACACTTGGAATTTACATTTGAATATAGGCAGATATTGTCTGTGTCTAATAAATGTATGGTGAATGGTTAATAATGTTTGTTTTTCGCATAAATCAGAATAATATATTTGGTGACGTTTCACAATCGAAACTGGATTGTTCTATCACATGTGGTGCCTGATCCCGTTTAGAGAATCATCCCACTTGCAATGAAATAATTTTCGCCTTAAACTATATTCCAGCAGCTACTGTTAAATAGATTCTCATTACAAAATAATGAAACAAAGTCATCAAAAGAAGAAAGCGGGAATGTTCACATCGTGACATTTTCACGAGAATCGAACATTTGCATGAAACATGTACAATGTCACACGAGGAGAAAACTAGTGTCGCAGGAAGAACGCCGATTATCTCCCTTTCCCAACATGGCCGCCCCCACGTGGTTCTCCAGAAATGTTGTTTACAGTTGGAATATAACTCAGAATTGAGCACAGTCACGACAATCACATCTTTTCAGGTATGTTTTAAGGTCCAACTAAGACTCTGAAGTGTATTCCTGAACGCCCGGTTATCAATGACCGACGAATCATCCACGGCACTACAGTAGTTTCAGTTTTAAGAGTTATACAGCTGTTAAAGACTTACAGTCACAGAGACATATCAGCAGCGCTCCTCTCACACTCGTAGGTTACCCAGTTCTTACACTTTGTTGTACTACGGTTTACATATCGAAAATAGGTTCGCGATGAATAAACGATATGATACATGAAAACTTGTCATTTGCCATCTGCTTTAAAGCCCCAGGGTCAGTGGAATGAACGGAGAGGATGGTGACTACATATTTTGAAAACGTGTTAGTGAAGTGAAAAATATGGTATTTTTTAGGGCTGGGACGGGTAACTCGGGTACTCCAGTCGGGTGGGTACTGTGTAGGACACGGGTACCCACGGGACTACCCGGATCCGTGGTTTGTCATTTGATATATTGTTTTATGACATTAACAATATAATTTCATGGTTACACTTTATAAGTACACGTTGCTAATGTTTGCATTTCTTTCTGACTGTGCACACATTCCTTCTGATTTTTATATGTTTTAGTAAAGACAAAGCTTCTGTCAACTTCAGTATATGCATGATCAGGTCCTTTTATACTATATACAAATGCTTTTTGCCAGTAAAAACTTCCCATTTGACCATTTTGTACCTAACTTGAGATCTAGAGTGGGTAGCCAGGTGGGGTCGGGTAATAGGGGGCTGGGTCCCCGGGTAGTAAATTTAGACTCTTCCCAGCCTTGGTATTTTTACCATTATCGGTACCAGTACTGTTTACCAGGTGCAGCTTATTATACCGCAAAATGGCCCAGGGTTCCAACGGTGGCTTCGCAGAGTAACTCATTAGCCCACCTTAGCTTCAAGCTGGCAATGTGAGTTTGAGCCTCCACCCGACACAAACTAAAATCAGAAAAAATTCGCCCAGTAAAGTGGACTACACCCTTTTTATCTTTACCTGTTTACAGTTCGAATCATGTTCCCGCAAGACTACACACACTGCCATCTGCATTGTACTGGTGCAGCTGTAAAGCACTAGCCTAGGCTGTCTAGGGTTGGATTTAACTGTAGCTCTGTCAGGCTTGCCTGCCTCTTCAATCCTGTGGGTTGGTTGTGTAATGGTGCGGCATGGGGTACCCGGACTGGTTACCCCTTTAGGATCAGTATACACGGTATACATGGTATAGGGTTAACATGGTTAAATAACCTCACTCTTTACAGCGATGTGAACATGCATCATTTGTACAAACTGTCCAATGTGTGTTCAATAACTAATGAGGGATTAACATGCTGAAGGTAAAGTGAAACCAGTAAACCAATTGAAAATAGAATGTACCAGTGAATGAATGTTGTTTTACACCACAGTCGGCTATATTCCAACTTTGATCAATGTGATCTGTAAATGATCCAGTCTTGGCAGATCAGTTGGTTGGGCATGTTGACGTCATACCATCAGTCTCATCATGTCACAAGTTGAAGTCACGTACCTAATCCACATTTCAGTCAACTCTTGTGATAAGCTTTGAGTACTGCAGATTTTCTGGCCCAGAAGCCCCCAGAAGTTACCATTTAATTGCATTTACCCAACATATTGTTTTGTATCATGAAGAAGCCTTTTGTTCCGGTAGTCCAACAGGGATTGTCAAATTCTTAACCAACATCTTACTGATATTCAATATGTGTTACTTATATATGTTATAACACCAGCTGATAACATGATAAGCATGTATTTGTTTACCGTAAGTACTTGTTAAAAGGGCTGGAGATCAAAGCAGAGATGGCTTTAGGTTTCATATCGGAGGTCAGTGCAATACATTCATTGAAGTTTGCAAGATGACACAGAAACAAACAAATGTCCAAATGTTTTGATTGATCAGATTATGTTTAACAAAGTTATGATTCTTTTTTTACTCAAACTTGGCCTAAATTGTTATTTATCACATAGCCCAGGTCGGTTTGTTTATTACATGTACAGTATAAGGGTTTCCTAAGGGCGAGTAGAATTTCAGGCTTTTTAGGAGTGTTGTTATATGTTTTCACTATTCAGGCAAGTAAACTTAACAGGATCAATTGCATCAAAGATTGCATATACTGGTACACAGATGAGCTACGGAGCCTATTTGGAGGCTCTTCACACATATATTCCTATACGTTGAAACACATTCAGTGCTATAACACCTTTGCAATTTTGTAATGATTTGTTCGCTGTGCATGCAGTGGAGAGTTATGTCCCCGAACCATGCCAAGCTATTGGTTTGAAAACGCAGATTCAGCCTGATACAGGTGTGATTGCATGACAGGACTGAAATCCGGCTCACTCACGCATGCATTCATTCATTCACCCAGTAACTCTCTAACTGTTTCCAAGGGGCGGTCGGGTAGCCTAGTGGTCAAAGCATTTGCTCGTCACACCGAAGACCTGGTTCGATTCCTGACATGGGTACAATGTGTGAAGCCCTTTTCTTGTGTCCCCCGCCGTGATATTGCTGGAAGTGGAATATTGCTGAAAGATGCGTAAAACCATACTCACTCACACATTAACTGTTTCCCAAGCTGACACTCATTCACCCAGTAACTCAACCCGTGAAGATTCCGGGGTAAAAAAGGTCTTCAGCAACCCATGCTTGCCGTTAAAGGTGACTATGCTTGTCGTAAAAGGCGACTAATGGGATCGGGGGGTCAGGCTCGCTGACTTGGTTGATGCATGTCATCGATCCCAATTGCATTGATCGATGCTCATGATATTAATCACTGGATTGTCTGGTCCAGGCTTGATTATTTACAGACTGCCGTCACATAGCTGGAATATTGCTGAGTGCGGCGTTAAACAACAAACCAACCAATCACCCAGTAACTCGCTCACCCATGTAAAACAGCGACCCACTCATCCGCTGCAATGGCCTAGGATGTCCTTCATGCCTCAGTGTTCTAGTGGCTAGAGCATCTGTCTGGAGAACAGGAGGCTACTGGTTTCACCCCCAGCCACATCAATCAAAAAGACATTAATAGATGGTGCTGTTGTCACCCAACTTGGCGCTTGGCATTAGTGGATAAAACAAGGACTGTATGCTGTGTCAGAGTGGGTCATCCATGTTAAACTGCGGGATGGTATCCTACTTAGCTAGCACTATAAAATCGACATTAGTCCGGACTGGTAGAAACAGCTACATGCATGCATGTCTCTATGAGTGCAACAATCTTGAATGAGATGTTTAACCCCATTTCCCCTCACCTCACTCAGCCCTGTATTCTTTCCAGTAGTCATGGAAGGTGAGGATAAGAGGAAGGTTCATCGTGTCCGACAGGCTGGGCGCAAGGCGGAGAAGAAAAAAGCCAAAGACAAACATGAACAAGACCTGTCAGCCAAGCAACGGAACCCAAGGGCTTTTGCCATTCAGTCGGCCAACAAGACTGCAAAACGTGTTCAAAGGTGAGATGGTGCTTTGTCTCAACAAATCAAAATGAACTTGTTTAAGCAATGGTAAACATGGTAAATGAATTTGTGAGTAAAGGTTTGAAGTTCTCCAGTGAGAATGTGACATCTATTTATCATCCAAAACAGGCTACCACAGGAGATATCGCTTGGGTGAGATCAAGCGATATCTAAACTGTAGATATCGCTGCAATGAAATTGCATCACAATTCTTTGCAGACCATTGTGATGCATTGGTTACCATGACGTCACAATCAAATGACATCACTAATGGCTCTGCTACTGAAGCTGTTAGCAGTACTTTTTACACTTAAGACACTGCTTATTACTTTCTACAAACTGAAAAAGTTGGAAGAATGATGTTGGATGATAAATAAAATCTCACCCTCGTGTCCTTTGATATCAAATATATCAACACTCGTTGATAAACATGATAAAAGTAGAAAAAAAACCTCGGCAAGCCTCGGAGTTTCCCCACTTTTATCAACTCATGTTGATATATTTGATATCAAAAGACACTCGGGTGAAATTCTCTATATCTCCATAATCTCAGTGGCTTGTAAATGATCACGTCTGGGTCAGGCAAACCATTGGTTTGAATTTAAAGGCAGAGAGGCAAAAGACAAAGTGATAAAGTGATAAACATTATATGAATGGATCAGTGATGACTCCAGGTGTTCGTGAAATGGGTAAGCATGTCCTGCTCTACATGTAGCACATGCCACTCATACAATTTACATAAAAATAAACCCTGGTACGGTGAATGAGAAGTTATTGAAAATTATGTCCTGTTTACACATTTTCCCTTGTGTTAGAACTCTTGATCACAAGACAAAGAAACATCACATCCCTCTGGTCGACCGGACACCCGATGAGCCTCCACCGGTTGTCGTGGGGATTGTTGGGCCACCCAAGGTGGGCAAGTCCACGCTGATGCAGTGCCTGGTGAAGAACTACGCCAAACAGAAGCTGTCTCAGATATCAGGACCAGTCACCGTCGTCTCAGGTGAGTCATTGGTTGCATACAATATTGCCATGGTTACAGGATTTTTTGTTGTTGTTTTACCCCGCACTCAGCAATATTCCTTTTGATGGCAGCCTGAACATTATCGAGTCTGGACCAGACAATCCAGTGATCGATATTGTGATCAACGCCTTCAGGGTATGAAGACACACTAGTACCCAAGTCACCGAGTCTGACCACAGATCTGCTTAGTCCCCTTATGACCGGTATAGGCTGCTGGGGTCCTATTCCAACTGGGAATCCCCACAGAGTTTCTCTCATGTAAGTGGTCTGAAGCCGGCTGTAGTTGCTGCTTGTTCTCAAAGCTAAGACATTGTGCTCATTTTCAGACTTGGATTTCTGTACATTTACATGTTCTGTACCCAGTGGTGATTCCAGGAGAGAATAGATCCCCAGCACCTTATGATAGTTGTAGTAGCTACCGGTAAATGAAATGTGGATCTGGTAGTTACCATGGTTACAATGTGTGACCTGGCTCATTGGGTGTCATCATGTCGTCATGACCAGGGCGGTTGCTCGTCTTTTCAATCACTGGCTGATCTGGCCATGACATGATTATTGACAGGCAGTCTTGGTGAAACGTGACTGGTGCTCAGTGTGGTGCAAAACAACACTCACTTATTTTATTGAAATATTCTTATAGAGATTTTGTGAGAGCTTCCACGATTGCTGATTTCTCACTGTCATAGATGTTTTAGGTTTAATTGCTATGGTGACACTTTCAGAAAGATGGTTAAAATGACTTGTTTGTTACAGGAAAGGACCGGCGCTTAACACTTATTGAGTGTAACAATGACATCAACAGCATGATTGATCTGGCCAAGGTTGCTGACCTGGTAAGAATAAATGATTAAGGGGATTTTTAGTAGGCTGAAATGTTTGCCTTTTTCCTTCTAAAACTATAGCACATCCCAAATTGGAATAGAAAAATTCCCAATTCATGTTAATATAGTTTTTTGTAGAGGTCACTGATAGAGGAAACTGATAGATGTCACTGATAAAGGAGACTGATAGATGTCACTGATAGAAGAGACTGATGGAGGTCACTGATAAAGGAGACTAATAGAGGTCACTGATAGAGGAAACTGATAGATGTCACTGATAAAGGAGACTGATAGATGTCACTGATGGAGGTCACTGATAGAGGAGACTAATAGAGGTCACTGATAGAGGAAACTGATAGATGTCACTGATAAAGGAGACTGATAGATGTCACTGATAGAAGAGACTGATGGAGGTCACTGATAGAGGAGACTAATAGAGGTCACTGATAGAGGAAACTGATAGATGTCACTGATAAAGGAGACTGATAGATGTCACTGATAGAGGAAACTGATGGAGGTCACTGATAGAGGAGACTAATAGAGGTCAGTGATAGAGGAGACTGATAGATGTCACTGATAGAGGAGACTGATAGATGTCACTGATAGAGGAGACTGATGGAGGTCACTGATAGAGGAAACTAATAGAGGTCACTGATAGAGGTCAGTGATAGAGGAGACTGATAGATGTCACTGATAGAAGAGACTGATAGGGGTCACTGATGGAGGAGACTGATAGGGGTCACTGATGGAGGTCACTGACAGAGGAGACTAATAGATGTCACTCATAAAGGAGACTGATAGATGTCACTGATAGAGGAGACTGATAGATGTCACTGATAGAGGAGACTAATAGAGGTCACTGATAGAGGAAACTGATAGGGGTCACTGATAGAGGTCAGTGATAGAGGAAACTGATAGATGTCACTGATAGAAGAGACTGATAGGGGTCACTGATGGAGGAGACTAATAGAGGTCACTGGTAGAGGAAACTGATGGAGGTCACTGATAGAGGAGACTAATAGAGGTCAGTGATAGAGGAGACTGATAGATGTCACTGATAGAGGAGACTGATAGATGTCACTGATAGAGGAGACTGATGGAGGTCACTGATAGAGGAAACTAATAGAGGTCACTGATAGAGGTCAGTGATAGAGGAGACTGATAGATGTCACTGATAGAAGAGACTGATAGAGGAGACTGATAGGGGTCACTGATGGAGGTCACTGATAGAGGAGACTGATAGGGGTCACTGATGGAGGTCACTGACAGAGGAGACTAATAGATGTCACTCATAAAGGAGACTGATAGATGTCACTGATAGAGGAGACTGATAGATGTCACTGATAGAGGAGACTAATAGAGGTCACTGATAGAGGAAACTGATAGGGGTCACTGATAGAGGTCAGTGATAGAGGAAACTGATAGATGTCACTGATAGAAGAGACTGATAGGGGTCACTGATGGAGGAGACTAATAGAGGTCACTGATAGAGGAGACTGATAGATGTCACTGATAGAGGAGACTGATAGATGTCACTGATAGAGGAGACTAATAGAGATCACTGATAGAGGAGACTAATAGGGGTCACTGATAGAGGTCAGTGATAGAGGAGACTGATAGATGTCACTGATAAAGGAGACTGATAGAGGTCACTGATAGAGGAGACTGATAGGGGTCACTGATGGAGGTCACTGACAGAGGAGACTAATAGATGTCACTGATAAAGGAGACTGATAGATGTCACTGATAGATGAGACTGATAGATGTCACTGATAGAGGAGACTAATAGAGGTCACTGATAGAGGAAACTGATAGGGGTCACTGATAGAGGTCAGTGATAGAGGAGACTGATAGATGTCACTGATAGAAGAGACTGATAGAGGAGACTGATAGGGGTCACTTATGGAGGAGACTAATAGAGGTCACTGATAGAGGAGACTGATAGATGTCACTGATAGAGGAGACTGATAGAGGAGACTAATAGAGGTCACTGATAGAGGAAACTAATAGATGTCACTGATAGAAGGGACTGATAGAGGAGACTGATAGGGGTCACTGATGGAGGTCACTGACAGAGGAGACTGATTGAGGTCACTGATAGTGGAAACTGATAGAGGAGACTGATGGAGGTCACTGATAGAAGAGACTGATAGAGGAGACTGATACGGGGTAACTGATTGAGGTCACTGACAAATAAAGAGTTAAATGCTTTGCTGCTTTTTTAAAGTAGCACAGAATTGAGCAAAATATGAACTATAAAAAATCCAAAAGGTGAACCAAATAATGCCAGTTTGCCTACCATTGGCACTTAGTTTGGAATCCTAGATAAATCCCTGAAATGGCCGAGTCCAGGGACAGGTAGTACTGTGCAGCATGTCATGATGTAGCTGTAGTGTTGCTGCCTGGTGTACACTCACCCACTGCTGTGTTCACTCTTTGATGAGAGGTGTGACATTGTTATAAATGTTGCAGGTCCTGCTGCTAGTGGATGCTAGTTTTGGGTTTGAGATGGAAACATTTGAGTTCCTCAACATTTGCCAAGTCCACGGGTTTCCTCGCATCATGGGTGTGCTCACTCACCTCGACATGTTCAAGGACAGCAAGAAGATCAGGAAGACGAAAAAGAGGATGAAGCACAGGTTTTGGACAGAAATTTACCAGGTGAGCTAATTTAGTATTTCTCCCGTAGATCAGGAGTAGACAAAAAGGAGTGAACAATCTATGTTTGACAAAGTAGACACAATTTATCAACTTCTTTAATTGCTGTAAAGGCAACATTTGGGTATGGATCCTTATACCATTGTCAAGCAAGACAACGGTAAAAGGATCTATACCTAAACATCGCCTTCACAGTAATTAAAGAAGTCGTAATCCGTAAATTGTGTCTACTTTGTCATCCGTCAACTTCTAAGTAATGCCTATGAAACAATTAATCAATGTTTGCTGGCTATCAAATGGATATTTGTAATGCAAATCACTGTGCAGAGTATTTTTCTGTTGGCTCTCCCCTCCCTTCCCTCCACCTTCTCCTTGCATAATAGTCTCACTCCTGGCAGACAGTACAACATGATTTATTCAGCTAGATACAGAAGGGGGAATGATGAAAACGCCTCATCTGTCGCTATTTTATGTAAAACCTCATAGTTTGACCTTGACATTGTATTATTGCTTTGTAGGGAGCCAAGTTGTTTTACCTGTCTGGTACAATCAATGGAGAGTATCAGCGAACCGAGGTCCATAATCTCTGTCGCTTCATCTCAGTGATGAAGTTCCGCCCCCTGCAGTGGAGGATGACGCATCCATATGTGCTAGCTGACAGGTAGATACCGTATTTCGCCATGTGTAAGGCAAGTTTTTCATACCTAGAATTTGGGAGTTTCAAGGGGGATACCCCGGTACAGCTGTGTGATAGGGTTAGCCACACAACCAGTTGGAACAACTTCTTCTTCAGTAAGACCTCACAGCTATTTCTCTGTCAAGAACAAGCAGAAAATGCATTAAGGAGTAATGCAGGATAAGTATACATATATCAAAGATATCTTGGATTTTACTAGTTTTATTTATTACTTGTCATTTTTTTCAATATTTCAATGTCATGTGTAAATAGGCAGACATCTACATGATCCACAGCATAATCCAATTGAGTTCACAATACTTCAAACACATTAAAAGTCAACATGTATTGATTTATAACCATACAACAGCTCCCCTTTAGAATTCAGGGGTCCAGTCCACATAGCAATCATAGCGCTAAGGTGACCTTTACTTCCACACAGACTTAAGACTGTCGTTGCGCTACGATCGCTTTGTGGAACAGGACCCTGCCTGGGTTAGACAAAAGTTTAAAAACACGTCACAATACCATATGATACAATTTATAAAATTTTGTTGCAAGACACACCGGTGAAATAATGCCATGTGACGTCAACCTAGCAACAGGGTTGCTGGGGTCATTGAGTGTGCATGAGTTCCTCTCAGTGATCTATCATCTCTACATGCAATGTCGTTGAATAAGCCCAGGGATGTTGGGAATTTTCACTATTTGTCAGTGAAACTAGTACCTGCAGTAATAAGCGCAAGTCTGGTATTAAACACTGTGTAATACCAGCTTATTGTTCTTAAACACTGGTCACTTCAAAGGGCGAGTAATGAATACAGATTACTAAACAAGTCCCCTTTAGATATCATTTTTCATACGAGTGCAAATGTTGCTAATATTGGATCCTAAGCAAGTCTATGTGTTTCTTGTTACAACAGTTCAACAGTAGTCACATGGTAAACGGGTCCAGCTTCATGAAAATCACATATGAATAATTAGTTTTCTCACGATGTTGAGAAGGATGGGTTGCTGAAGACGTATTCTACCCCGGATCTTCACGGGTCGACACACTATATCACACTGTAAGACACTGTAGGACACACTGCATGACACACTGTATGACGCTGTATGACACTGCATGACTAACTGTAGGACACTGTATGACACTGGCACACTGTATGACAGACTTTATGACACTGTATGACACACTGTATGACACACTGTATGGAACACTGTAGGACACTTTATGACACTGTAGGACACACTGTGTTATACACTGAGCTGACACTGGTCGACACACTATATCACACTGTCGGACACACTGTATGACACTGACACACTGTATGACACTGACACACTGTATGACACATTGCATGACACTGTATGACACTGACACACTGACACACTGTATGACACATTGCATGACACTGACACACTGTATGGCACACTGTATGACACTGACACACTGTATGGCACTGTATGACACTGACACATTGTATGACACTGACACATTGTATGACACTGACACATTGTATGACACTGACACATTGTATGACACACTGTATGGCAGACTGTATGACACACCATGACACTGGTCGACACACTATATCACACTGTAGGACAAACTGTAGGACACTGTATGACACATTGCATGACACACTGTATGACACATTGCATGACACTGTATGACACTGACACACTGTATGACACTGACACACTGTATGACACTGACACACTGTATGACACATTGCATGACACTGTATGACACTGACACACTGTATGACACTATGGCACACCATATGACACAATGCATGACACTGTATGACACTGACACACTGTATGGCACACTGCATGACACTGTATGACACTGACACACTGTATGACACACTGTATGACACATTGCATGACACTGTATGACACTTTATGACACTGTAGGGCACACTGTGTTATACACTGAGCCAACACTGGTCGACACACTATATCACACTGTAGGACACACTGTAGGACACCATGACACTGTAGGACACACTGTATGGCACTTTATGACACACTGTAGGACACTGTACGACACACTGTTTAGAACTAATGTTCCCATATTTGCAGGATGGAGGACATCACCAACCCCGAGTCTGTGCGTTGCAACTCCAAGTGTGACCGCAAGGTGTGTCTGTACGGCTATGTGCGGGGGACGCACTTGAAGAACCAGCAGATGGTGCACATCGCAGGTACTTGGTGGCCGCGTCTAGTGATAGGCATTATTTGCCAAGTGTGTTTCTGTATCATGTTTATCATTTATTAAGCCTATGGAAGTCATGATACACAGCTGAATTTCGGGGGTTTGATCCCTGGCCGCGTCATACCAAAAGATGTTAAAAGATGGTACTTGTTGTTACGCTTTCTGCCGCTCGGCATTAAGCGGCTAAAATAAGGACCGGTCAGCTTGAGTCAGTAGAGTCAGTAGACTGTGTCTGAGTTGGGTATTCATGTTAAACTGCAGCATGGTATCTCAGTGGACAAGCACGTTAAAATCAGCGTTAGTCTGGACTAATACAAGCAGCCACATGCACATACACATGCATGCATGTCACTTTATAAGTTAACCCCATTTCACCTCACTTTGGGTTCAGAAACATCAACACATTGAAAAACACCCATTTACACTTATGAGGGCGTCAGGCAACAGTTTATTGAGCAAGCAGACATTGCATTAATGAATGGAGCCAGGTGACCTCATTTGCATATTTATCGGATTGTGACATAAGTTAGTTATACCAAGGAATTTCATCCATCCTTCCGAGAACATATTTTTGTGAAATCTATTACTTGAAAACTGCTTAGATTATTTTCGTTCTTGGTGAACACTTTCTATACCAGTCGTGGAGGTGAAGTGCAAATTTTTTATTTCAATATTTGGATTTTCTGAAAAAACACTGCTTTTATTCATTGTTTAGCTTTGACTTTTTTACTTCAACATTTGTACAATCTATTGCTTGAAGACATCTTCATGGATCCTTTCCCTATTAAAAGGAACAGTTGCTATACCAATTAGGAGAGGTGCAGTGCAGAGTTTGATTTTGATAAGTGGATTTTCTGAGAAAATAGTTGTTGTTTTTCATGTCAAGTGTACTGTATCCAGCAAAGCCTGCTGCTGATGCACCAGTACATCTTTGAATCATGCCGTTACTGTGTTATTTTATTGTGCTTTTTAAGAGAAACCGACACAAACATTAAGGCATCAATATATCTCCAATATCAAAATTGTTCTTCAGCTGATGTTGGTAGTCGAGGTCAGGGTTATTAGTGAGCCTTGCTCATTTTTTTGCCTTTTTCATCACAGTTTTTAGTGCCTGAACAATTACAATGACCTGTTCTCATGACGTGTTTATGCCACCCTGTATCATTTGGGAATGTGTATTGCCCTCTAACTGCTCAGGCCCTCCAGTTGGGATTCCGAGTAAGATTATTTTCTAGGTCCCCAGCTACCTATGATTTAAGAGGCGCCCAGATGGATTGGTTGGTCAGGCTCGTGGTCTTGTTTGATTGTGTCCTCTTACTCAGACGGTGTGGATTAATGTATAGGTGCCAATCAAGGGAATGTCTGGTCAAGACTTGTTTGTTTTCAGCCCGCTGTCATATAACTGGAATATTACTGAGTGAGGAGTTAAGCAACAAACAAACAAATCCTGCTTGAAATGTTTACAGGGTGTGGAGATTTCAACATTCACAACATGCAGTTTCTGCCAGACCCCTGCCCTACTCCCAGCAGAGAGAAGAGGCGGTCCTTGAATGAGAAGGAGAGGTTCATCTATGCCCCCATGTCCGGAGTGGGGGGGATTGTGTATGACAAGGATGCTGTATACATTGATCTGGGGGGCAGCCACTCTCACAGTAGGAAGGAAGAGGTGGGTAGTTTCTATTGCATCTACATTAGACACAGGTGTTGAGAATGAAGTTATTGACAGGCCGCCATCATATAGTGAGTGAGTGATTTAGTTGGGTTTAACGCCGCTTTTAACAGTATTCCAGTCATATTGCGGCGTGTCAGCTTAATGTGGGAGGAAAGCCCGAAGTGATGCAGGTCTCAGACGTTTACCACTTTGGTGAAACCCACGAGCACGGGTAAGGTGATGACAAACCTACAAACATAATTGGGGCGAACCGGGATTCGAACCCGTAATCATAGGTTTCTGGCGTGCACAGCGAATCGCGGCGCCTTAGACGAGTGGGCCACCCGTGCCCCCCGTCATCATATAGCTGGAATATTGCAGAGTGTGGAGCTAAACAACAAACACACACACCTAATATGCATCTGCTGATAACTGTGGATAACTCAGAGACAATGTTAATCACTCCATATGTCTTTCGGTTGGGATTCCAGGGTAGAATAAGTCCCACTTGTCCTCATACATGTCCTAAGAGCAGACCAGCTATGGATTGGGTGGTATTATGTTTAATATGTGACCTGGCTAATCATGTATATTTACACCTGAATGTCATGGAACATCGTTCATGCCATCGACCTCTGGTTTACCTGGGCTTTGTAATACAGCAGAAATATTGCGGACTAGGGCATAAAACAATATTCACTCATCCCCTTAAATTTGATGACACTCAAAATGAATCTCGGTGTTTTCCACATGGTGTGGTTACCATGGTTACAGGACAAGCAGCCGGGCAGTGAGATGGTGGCTCAGCTTATTGGCATGATCAACCCTATCGACAAAAAACTGACGGCAAGTGAAATGAGCATGTTTACAAACACAGCCCCGATCCGCTCAGCTGATGCAGATAACAACAGTAGCGAAGAGGAGGATGTAGATGAGGATGAGGACAAGTGAGTGGGACGTGACTTAGTTAATGAAGAGAAGTTAGGCTAAGAAAATAATAGTCTTGGTTCCCAGGCACTGTATTCCAGTATTTTACTCATCAAGGAATACATATATGAAGGGAGGCCCATTCCCAGGTTGATTGTGCGCACTGTTTGTTTGGTAACACAACTGTTTATTTGGATACATACCAGTTTGACCGTGAAGATATCGGGTTACAATAGGTCTTCAGCAATCCGTGCTTGCCATAAAAAGTGACTATGCTTGTCATAAGAGGCAACTAACGGCATAGGGTGGTCAGGCTCACTGACTTGGTTGATGCATGTCATCATATCCCATTTGCCTCGATCGATGCTCATGATGTCAATCACTGGATTGTCTGGTCCAGACTCGATTGCCGTCATACAGCTGGAATATTGCTGAGTGTGGTGTTGAACAACAAACACACAGACGCAAAACATATTACTTTGAAAGAAAAAAAAACCTTTAAAAAATCCCACCAGTGCCAACTCTATTTTCAACAGCCATTGCCTGAGAACCAAGTCTTATAGTTTTTTAAGCCTAACATTACAAGGACCTAGACCTCCTTTAGAGGCCAATATTCGGCCCCAATTCTGCAGCAAATGTCAGTTTTTATTCCCAAATTGGAATTATATATTTGCCCATTCATGCTATTATAGTTGTAACTGCTGATATGGTTTCGATGAGATTTGTATTTACCGTATTCGATGTAATAAGCACCCAGGGCGCTCTCAAAATTAGAAATAGGGGGCGCTTATTAGAATATTATTTTGGTGAAAAAAAACAGAGTTGAAAGATAAATTTTGTGGTTTATGCTGACAGCCTGAAATGTTTATATTCGACAGATATATTTTTCCAGAATTTGATTGCCCATAATTAAGGGTGCATAAATAAGTCTTGTGCACATTGATCAATCGGAAGGGGTGCTAACTTGGATTGTTCACTAGCCAATATATTAGCTAATATCGCCGTGGGCGCTTATTAGAGCATGGCACTTATTACGTCGAATACGGTAACTGATGGTCGGAGCAATAGGTAAAGGTTTCAATGCTTTGTTTTCCATGGTCACTTGAAAGCTAGGTAAATCCCTGCATTTAGGCCTGCATGCTTTAGACTAAATAAAATAATAGTCTTAGTTCTCAGGCACTGCGAGGCATCATCATGAAGTCAGCTGCTCATTTCGTTTTGTTTCCATTTTAAACAAAAAAAAATCCTTAAATATTTTGCAACTCAAACAAACGACCCTGTTAGTGAAATGCTACAATACCTAAAAACAATGCAAGCCCGCAGTTGCACTGTTTTACTGTGCATCTTGTGTTATGGTCATTGCGACAATAAGGGTTTGATAAAACATCCCAAAATAGATGATTTACTAATTCAATGATACTTGTTCACTGTTTGCCGGACAATGTTTCATATGCAGAGATTGAGATTACATGTGTATTTGCCTCGTAAAGTAAGCCGAAAATAGCAATCAGCTGTTCACACATCTTTTCCCCTATCTTTGGGTGATTTAGTTTAAAAAATACTTAATGCTTAGCCAATATCATAACTGAAAAGTAATGTCAATACAGCAATAGGGAGACCAAAGACTTTGTATCTCTAACGACTCATGTTTGTTTCAATGCTCATGTTCATGGTAAGTTGATGTGTTTTGCCAATCACTTCATACACGATTTTGCTGAAATTAATGTAAACCAAATTGAACGACATCTATATGTCGGCTCAGAGTCAGTATACTGTGTCTGAGTAGGGTAAATACGCATCAGTCCAGAGTAGTACACGCAGCCACACACACACATGCATGCACGGCACTTTATAAGTGCAATAATCTTGGACGCCGCGTTAAAGCCATTTCACCTTCACCTTACTTCACGAAGTGCATGATTTTCACAAAAACTGCACATCAATGTATAAATCCGTAATAACGATTTCCACTTTCAAGTTATTTTCAAGATATCAGTAATCAGCAAGAAGATTCTTTGACAACGAGGAAGTAGTGTAGGGAACTTAGCTCAGGACTAATACAATTAGCAAAATGAGAATTTGGAAAATAATTTTAATAATCAAGGCCCCTCCTCCTGCTGTTAACATGGTTAAGGCTCTTAATCTCTCCTTGAGGACCAATCCTGTGGCATAGTTAGTTGTTATTACAAAACATGCCCACCAAACACAATCAGTTACTGAAATGGCATTCCCTAAGAACTAAACATATTTTTGGTTTGAGTCATTTTAGCAGTTTCAATTTCAGTTTGATGGAGCTAAAATTAGTATATTTATAAAAATGTCAGCACATGGTTTTAATTGAAATAACACTTTTGACTTTAATAATAATAGTTTTTTGTTTGTTTTCTCGCAGACAGATGAAATTTTTACCAGAGGAAGAATCTGTGGAGGCAAGTGATGGCCGCACAAGGAGGCGAGCTGTGTTTAGTGAAGATGAAGACGAGGATGATGAAGACAGTGATGAAGAAGAGGCTGAGAGTGATGAAGAGGTAAAATTTTCACCTGGTTATTGAGACTGATACCTGAGTCATGTGGCCAAAAGAGCATACTTTATCTTCTGTTTAGGGGTATCAGATACATTGTTTGAGGCATAAAAAAATAAAATAATTGGTTCTCCAGCAATGTCTTTTGAAATTATAGTGCAGACAGGCAGTGTGGTTTTTTTTTATGTACAGTTGTGCAAAATCATCCTTGGAAAGGGCCTCCCAACATAAATGGTTTCCTTGATGAGTAAAATACTGGAATACAATATTTGAATACCTTTGACGACCAGTGTGTGCATAATTCACCCATACAAAGATTTTTTATCATGAGCACACAACACTGAAAGCAGCATGTCGTCAAATCTGTACTGAAGTACGCAAGATACTCCTGTTATTACACTGTCTGACTATAAAAGAGTTCATTGTATGTCTGGACTTATGTTTGTAATCCATGATATTACTCTTATCTAAGATTTCATTCAATTTTGTTTACATTCATTTCGGCGAAATCGTGTAAGAAGTGATTGGCAAATCACATCAACTCGCCATGAACTTGGGCCTTGAAACAAACAATAGTCGTTAGAGATACAAAGTCTTTGGTCTCTCTATTGCTGTATTGACATTACTTTTCAGTTATGATATTGGCTAGGCATTAAGTATTTTTTAAACTAAATCACCCAAAGATAGGGGGAAAAATGTGTGAACAGCTGATTGCTATTTCCAGCTTACCAATGCTTACTTTATGAGGCAAATACACAGTAATCTTAATCTCTGCACATGAAACATTGTCCGGCAAACAGTGAACAAATATCATTGAATTTGTAAATCATCTATTTTGGGATGTTTTATCGTAAATATCATGTTTTCATTGACCAAATTTGCAAACTGCAAAACAAACACACCAACTCCATTGACCATAACACAAGATGCTCAGTAAAGCAGTATGCATGTAAAGGGAAGTAACTGCACGCTATATTGGATCACATTGTTTTTTAGTATTGTAGCATTTCACTACGGGGGTCGTATGTTCGAGACAATGAAAATTTGAGGATTAATTTGGAAAAAAAACTGAAAAATGAGGCGGACTTTATGATGATGTGGGTGTTGCCTGAGAAGCATGACAAACTTTTTGAGCCTATGATTGCATGTTATATCATTCATCTTTCAGCAGCAATTGTTAGTTGTCAATATTTCATTTTTAAAGTTATGATGTCTTTGTAACCATGGTAACATAGGAACTGCATAGTTTTGTAAACATGTCCCTACTGGTCACTATTCCTGTTTGCCACCAAATTGGTGACTTGGCAACTTAAATATTTCATGTATAGAAACTGACAGTAACACACAAGATTGGTTGTCTGCAACAATATCCTCACTTCCATCTTCCTTGTTTACCATGTAATGCAACTCATTACACCCGTGAAGATCCGGGGTAGAATAGGTCTTCAGCAACCCATGCTGGCCGTAAAAGGCGACTATGCTTTCCGTAAGAGGCGACAAACGGGATCGGATGTTCAGGCTCGCTGACTTGGTTGATGCATGTCATCGTATCCCAGTTGCGTAGATCGACGCTCATGAGGTCAATCACTGGATTGTCTTGTCCAGACTTGATTATTTACAGACCGCCGTCACATAGCTGGAATATTGCCCTAACAGGCGACTATGTTTAAGTTTATTAAGAGGCGACTAACGAGATAGGGCGGTCAGGCTCACTGACTTGGTTGATGCATGTCTTTGTATCCCAATTGCGTGGGAGGTGGAATTGGAGAATTCATCATTGGGAGGCCAGACAACCTAGATTGCTGTGTCTGCGATGAATATACTGATGGTTTTGAATCAATCGGGAAAACCCACTGATCATGCTTAATGCACCAAAAGATCTGAAAAATATGAAAAGGCAGCAGTGGAGAAAAAGTTTCAAGAATATAGGCTCAGCAGAGTCCAGTGGTGGTCAGTGTTGTTGGTAAGATGAGTGGGGCATGTTCAGTAATATTTCTCATTGATTCCTTCCCATTTACACAGGCTGTGAGTAGTAAACAGAGAGAGAAGACTGTTGTGTTTGCTGACAGTGACGATGAGATACAACTCTTCAAAAATACATCAGTGTCAAAACTGGGACAGACGCACCAACAGAACGGGAGTCAACCTCAGGAACAGAGGAAGCTGGTGCCGCCGAAAGACAACGATGTCTGGTTGGACTTTAATGTTGGAAGTGATGATGAGGTGGATGAAGTAGTTGAAGATAAAGATGATAGGGACGATGAAAGTGATGATGATGATGATGATGATGATGATGAGAGTGAGGAGGATGAAAGTGAGGAGGCAGATGAAAGTGATGACAGTGACAATAAAGATGAGGATGATGTTGATGAGGAAGAGGAAAGTGAAAGTGATGACGAAAGTGATAGTGGTGATGAAGGTAGTGATGCGGACCAAATGAATACAGATGCCGTTCAGAGTGTCAGGAAGGTAAAGAAGAAAGACTTAAACAATGTTGTCAATGTAACAGAAAAAACAGATCCACCTAAATCTATTTCTAAAAAGGAAGCTTCTGACATTTCTAAATCATCCTTTCGTTCAAAACAGTATAAAGACAATGAAAATATGTTAAAAAAGAAACAAAAGACGGACAAATTGTTGAATGATATTGTTGAAGATTCATCTCAACATGTGAAGGTGAAAAGTGGAAAAAAGGTAGACAAGCAGTCCAAACTAGTCCAAGATTCCAAAGGATTAGAGTTCTTAGAGCCTGAGTTTGATGACGTGGAGATGAACTCGGCATCGAGTGAGGATGACATGTCAGCTTCAGAAACTGATTCTTCATCGGACTCGGATGAAGAGATGAAACTGTTGAAGAAGATTGGTAAAAACAAGGGTATTAATCCGAAGGAAGATCAAGGTAGTGATGAAGATGTGACAGAAGAGGAAGAACTGGATGACATCAAAGAAGAACCTGAAGATGGTGAGAATAATATTTAAGTTATGATAATCTGTATTCTGTGACTGTGACAGCGTGTGTGTTTACAAATCGGGTATATATTTTACTGTACGGAGAATTGGTAAACGCAATTCAATGATTGAATGGTATGTATTGATTGATTGTATTTCTTTTGTAAGTGTAAAATGTTTTTCTAAAGGTTCAATTAAACTTTAAAGTTTTCCGAGGCAAAGATACAGATAGTTTAAGTCCTTGTGTACAAAATCCATCTTCCCGAGGCAAGGGAGTTAACTGACTATAAAAATCTGACCTTGTTAAATATGATCATAACAAAGTAGATACAGATGGTATACCTGTAATAATCCTGGGTATACTTGCAGGCCTGCAGTGGAAGACCAACCTTGCCGCGAAGGCCTCGGAAGCCTTCAGGCGGCGACAGAAACAGAAGATGAACTACCAGAAACTCATCTATGGAGCAGGTGAGAACAGAGGGGCTGTTCCTGGTTCTTCTCTGGTGTCTTCACGCCCTTGCAGCGCCAGTACTTCCTGAGTTTGTAGAAACTATGTTCCTCTCCCTTATACATACAACTGCTACGCAGTGTAATGGTGATGCCTATCTAGTTTGGACCGCCTCCGTGGTCTAATGGTAGAGCGTCCGCCCAGAGAGTGGAAGGTCCGGGGCTCGATCCCTGGCCGCGTCATACCAAAAGACGTTAAAAGATGGTACTTGTTGTTACCCTGTCTGGTGCTCGGCATTAAGGGGCTAAAACAAGGACTGGTCGGCTCGGAGTCAGTATACTGTGTCTGAGTGGGGTATTCATGTTAAACTGCGGCATGGTATCTCAGTGAGCTTGCACTATAAATCGGCATCAGTCTGTAGTAGTACAAGCAGCCACACACACACATACACGTGCATGCACATCGCTATATAAGTGCAATAATCTTGGACGCGACGTTAAACCCCATTTCACCTCACCTCACCTCGCATTTCTAGTTTGCGTCAAGTATTGAGACAAGCTCTTTTATGACACACCGAAGTCAAATGAGCCCTACTCCGTGCATGAAACTTGTGCAAACGTTGCCTGAAATACTATCAGTGTAATCTGTGTGCTCTTTGGTCTGGGCTCTCGCTGGTGTCAGGACATGATTTCATTCATTGGTAAGAATAGCGGGTTCACTGGAAAGCAGACTTCTGTATTCAAGGGTGGTATGTAGTGCATCCCTGGGAGGTACCGATGAGGATTCCTGGGTAAGGCCTGTTGTTTTTGGCCTATATGTGTTGATCCAGGAGAGAACCAATTTGTCAGTGTAGACTATTTTGGCTGCAAAACTACAATATATGTTGCTGCAGGATCACGAGGGGTACATGGGGTTTTAGCATCCTGAGTTTTATACCACGAGTCTCCACCTCTGGCTAGGGATATATAACCTAACAAGGGACGCATTAAACCCCATGTACTCCTCATGATCCTGCTACAACAAATTTATCTTACCGACATGTTTTAATGTGACATTGTAAAAGAACTAAAACAAATTCAAAATTGATAGAAAACAGCTTTTCGACTGAGCTGAGGTTCGCTTGCGCTATGTCATGTGACTTTCATTGACTCGTGAAATACTTGCGGCTTTTTACTTTGAAGTTGGGTATAAGTGATTTATTCTGTCTCTCAGAATTCCACGGGCAGCCTGTATTGCACGTGGGTATAAGAGATTTATTCCCCAGCTGAGAAATGTATTCCCCTCCAAGGTGGGATACACAGTATTTTATCAAGATCACATGGACCAATCAAATCTAATCATTCTGACATGGAGGTATGATAAACAAGAATGTCTTCAAATTAATTTGACTCCGAATAGAACACTGCATGCTAAACAGTTTTTCTGTCCTGAATGATTTGTACAGATATAGTGTGAGATATATTGTTCATATCGGAGACAATTTTGGTGTAAAATGAGCTCTAATCTGTCTCCTGTTTTCATTGGACACTTATTAAGTTCTATTATGTTCCCATGACTCAAGCTGCTTCCCTACAAACCATGTGGGTCAACTAGATTGGTATATGGTCACAGGTTTCAACATTTGCAGTGATGTCTGTCATGTTGTGCTCATACTCAGTTTCACTAGTACAGATATTGGAATGTGTACAGAAATATAGCAGAGCTCCAGATAAGCTGCGTATCTGCGTAAAATACGCATCAGAAATTGAGAAATACGCAGTGAAATAAACTCCAAGCGCATCAAATACGCAACGGACATTACAGATAAGCTACAAAAATAAAACTTGTGCGTATCATCAAAATATTGTGAAGTAACCCTGCATATTTGATCAGCAACTTATTTTGAACTTATAAATGGGCATTCCGTCAACCTTGCCAAACTCCACGATGACAGTTACATCATCATCATTTGCCATCACACTTTCTTGTGGAAGTATCGTGGTATTTTTTAGTCCTATAAAGCTCTAGAACCCACACGACCCCAGTTTGCAGGGACTAGATGAATAGTGAATATTTAACTTAAATACCCACATGTGTAAAAACTAGTGGGTAACAGAAATTTGAATACCCAGATAGAATTACTGATACCCAATGATTTTAAAATGCATAGGTAAAATACCCACAACACCAAAAGCTTATCTGGAGCTCTGTATGTACAGAGCATGGAGTAACACAAGTCAATCCAAATCAGACCCATGAAGATCCTGGATAGAATAGGTCTTCAGCAACCCATGCTTGCCGTAAAAGGTGACTATGCGTTGTAAGAGGCAACTAATGGGATCGGGGGGTCAGGCTCGCTGACATGGTTGAAGCATGTCATTGTTTCCCAATTGCGTGGATTGATGCTCATGATGTCAATCACTGGATTGTCTGGTCCAGACTCGATTATTTACAGACCGCCGTCATATAGCTGGTATATTGCTGAGTGCGGCGTCAAACAACAAACAAACAATCCAAATCATGTGTTGTTTTGTTACAAATACTGTCACTCAAGTTCACTTCTATGACATGTATGTTGCCATAGTAACAGCAGCAGAGACGGAGAAGGACGAAGTGGATGAGGATGAGGTGGGAGGACTGTTCAAAGTGCTCAAGCAGAAGAAGGACAAAGGGAGGATGGGCAAGTCCAAATCAAATGACATGGACTGTTCCAAGTTTTGGGAGGACAGCATGCATGACTGGGATCTGGAGGAGGTTGGTACCACAAGTGTTTGAAAGAAAGAAATATGTTGTTTTTTTAACTGAAGAGCTCACTGTAGAATGTAACCAAAATATCATCACTAATATCTTTATTTCGCAATCATATTATTATTTTTAATCATTCATTTCTGATTTTGGTGTCTTCCGGTGATAATGACTTGTCTTGTATTTATCAGTAGTGCAGTTTAATCCTTGTGGTTATTAATAATATGAGAAAATATACAATTATCATATTTTCATCAGATGATTATTTTTTAGTTGAGTGGTAAATGTGTACGGCTGGTAAGCTATATACATACTGTTGTAGGTACGCCTGTTGATACGAGATTGTTTTGTGACTGGGAAATGGGACAAGAGTGAAGATGCAGCTGCTAGACTCCAGGAAGATGGTGAGTGCTGCAGCTCATAACATTCCCCCAACACACACATGGTAACATTCCCCCACACACATGGTAACAGTCCCACACACACATGGTAACATTCCCCCACACACATGGTAACAGTCCCACACACACATGGTAACATTCCCACACACACATGGTAACATTCCCACACACACATGGTAACATTCCCACACACACATGGTAACATTCCCCCACACACATGGTAACATTCCCCCACACACATGGTAACATTCCCACACACACATGGTAACATTCCCACACACACATGGTAACATTCCCACACACACATGGAAACATTCCCACACACACATGGTAAAATCCCCCCCACACATGGTAACATTCCCACACACACATGGTAACATTCCCACACACACATGGAAACATTCCCACACACACACGGTAACATTCCCCCCACACATGGTAACATTCCCACACACACATGGTAACATTCCCCCCCCACACACACGGTAACATTCCAGGGGAAGCAGGCACACAAGGTAACATTCCAGTGAAGCAGGTACACGTGGTAATATTCCGGGGGAAGCAGGTTCACAAGGTAACATTCAGGGGAAGCAGGTACACAAGGTAACATTACAGGGAAGCAGGTACACATGGTAACATTCTGGGGAAGCAGGTACACCAGGTAACATTTTGGGGGAAGCAGGTACAAATTGGTAACATTCCCGGTGAAGCAGGTACACATGGCAACATTCCCGGTGAAGCAAGTACACAAGGTAACATTCCTGGTGAAGCAGGTACACATGGTAACATTCCGGGGGAAGCAGGTACACATGGTAACATTCCCGGTGAAGCAGGTACACATGGTAACATTCCGGGGGAAGCAGGTTCACATGGTAAATTACATTAAGTAATACGTTACCACTGTTATACCGAGGCTGTTGTCTCCCACAACTGCTGCTATAGCGAAATCTACCACAGAGATCTCAATTACCTCATGCAGCACGTGCGTAGCCACCTAGCTGCCATGTGACACCCTTCACTCTTGTCTCCTTCGTCTGCTTAGCAAGACGTGTTTTCTCCTGCTGAAGCGTTCCTTGAAGATTTGGTGATATTTATTATAGTTTATTCTCTAATAAACTGTGCTTTTATGGGGCGTTGCGGTAGCTACGCTTGGTTATAATTTTCCCGCCAAACGGAAAATTTTTCCCGCCCTTTTTTCTATATACTTGCGGGGTTCGCGTATGCACGTTGTGTTTTACGTTTCCCCTGTTCTTGTATGTTTTGGGGGTTAACATGACTTATTTCTTTAATAAAAGTTATATGTGTATGTTATATGTTCACATTGCTCGTTTATTTTCTTGTGAAAATGTTCGTTTGTGAATCATTGTGGTGCGTGCGTTGTAACCATGTTTTGTTCTTTGTTTATAGCAAACAATCAATGTCTGACATGGATATGTCCCCAGTATCCACCCCCTCTACCCCTGCTCCTCGGAGTTATGGGGTGTGCAGAAAGTTTTTGTCGTCCCGGGATCCCCACGATCGTTGCCCGCGGTGCAGGGTTCCTTGCGGGGACACCCGGTGCATCCTGTGCGAAGGTCTGGGGCCTGCGGATTTTGAGCGGTACCGGCTGTACGTACAGTCCGTCTCCACCCCTGTGGTGGCCGGTTCGTCCGGTCGGGGTCCCCGTGCGGGTACCACCTCCTCGGCTGCGGCGGATCCCCTTGCGGCCCTCGGGCTGTCCGGGATTCCGTCGCCGCATTGTTGTCGAAACTTGTGGATTCCAAGCTGGCGGCCTTATCGCAAGATAGGCCGCTGGCTGTTCCGTCCCCGGCCTCTTCGGTGGCCGCGGGGTCGGACGCGGGGTCCACCGGTAAAGCGGCGGATCTCTTGGCGGCCCGTGTGCTGTCCGGGGATTCCGTCGCTGCATTACTTGCATAACTTGTGGACTCCAAGCTGGCGGCCTTATCTCAGGATAGGCCGCTGGCTGTTCCGTCCCCGGCCACTTCGGTGGCCGCGGGGTCGGACGCGGGGTCCACCGGTACGGCGGCGGCTCCCGTGGTCACCGGTCCTTCCCCCGAACCGTTGCTCCCGCTATCGGTTTAGGACCGCGTGGCCATGGTTTATGACCTCTTTGAGGACATGCCCCGGCCGGTACCGCGGGGAATCCACGATTGTGGGTTCCTCCGAGGTATACGATGAGTCTTCCGACACGGCTTTCCCCGCATCAACCTTGCTGCGTGGTTTCAAGCCTTCCTTGGAGAACGCCTTCGCGGCGGCCTCCGGTCGGGGTCTCCCGTTGCCTCCGACGTCGTGGAGAAAGGGTTTATTCCCGGTACATGACCTTGCCTTTCCCGAGGCTGGTCCTACCGTGGAGGCCCATGTTGAGCGGTTGGGTGTCCGTGCCCCACCGGCTGCTACGGTAACGCAAGCTACCTTGCACCAGCTGGACGCCCTCGCTCGGCACTCCATGTCTCACGGAGACACTTACTTGGCTGCAGCGGCCCGTCTGGTCGAAGGTTCTCCCACGGACCGTGACCAGCGCATTTACAACTGCCTGCTCAGTTTAAATGCTTCCCTGGAGTACGTTGCCGAGGACTCTCGGCACACACTTGCTCTTGTTGGGTCCCTGCATAGGCGCCTGGGTGCCGCTCCTAACCGGAGCACGCCCCAGGCTGCTGCGGCCTGTAGGTCTAAGGGGTCGGGTTCTTCTTCCTCTGGGAAGTAGCCCCGCCCTGAGGGCTTCGGTATGGGCAATCAGCTGCCCTTTCGCGGGAAGACGGGGAACTGGGGGAAGCCCAAGTCGTCGACGGACGGCAAGGGCTCCTCCAGGTGACTCTCATTGGAGGGGTTCGTATGCCGACAGCGCCAACTTCGGTTGGCCCTTAGGCGAACCCGAGTCACTTGGCCCTGGACAGTTGCGCCTGTCGCAACCTGTCAGGGCCCCCTCTCCTTCCCCAGTGGGAGCCAGACTCCAGACTTACTGGGAGAATTGGGAACAAGTGTTCGACGACCCGTGGGTGGTCAACACGATTCGGTACGGCTATCGGCTTGATCTCAAAGCGAATCCGCCGCTCACCGTTGCCCCGTTGGCAGGTTTCGATTCGGAAACCGATCTTCCCATCCTCGCCGATGCCATCGGCAGGTTGGTGGAGAAGGGGCAGTACGGGAGTTAGCTCTACCAGAAATAACACCGGGGTTTTACTCCAGGATATTTCTCGTTCCCAAGTAGGACAGTGCCGAACTCAGAATGATTCACACGTCCGCTCCCTGGCTGTTCACCCGGTTAACCACCCCCATAGTGGGGTTCCTCCACAGGAGGGGTGTCCGGTACTTCGCGTACCTGGACGACTCGCTAGTAGCAAATCGAATGACAGACACCCTGTCACGCCATCTCGATTTCGCACGTCGGCTCTTGGAGCAATTTGGGTGGATTATCAATCTCCCCAAGAGCGAGTTAACCCCTTCTCAGAACTTGCTGTTCATCGGAGGTCGGTTCAACACGGTGTCCCATCGCCTCTTTGTCCCCCCAGACCGGTGGCACAAAATTCAGGCGATGATTGCCAAAGTCTTAGCGGTGCAACAGACTGTTCACTTTTGGGAACAGCTGTTAGGGCTACTTGTATCAGCCCAGGACTGCACCGCACGGGGTCGTCTCCAACTCCGCCCGCTGCAACGGTTTTTAATCCAGTTGTTAGCAACGGAGGTGCACAGTGCGACCGTCGCCCTCCCGGATCGGCTCCGACCGCATCTGGAGTGGTGGACGGTCCCTTACATTGTCTTATCAGGAGTCTCTATGCGGCCCTACCGGGCCACGTTGACCCTGTATACAGACGCCTCTCTAGTGGGCTGGGGCGCCCGTCTAAAGGGGGAGGTGAGCTCGGGGCTGTGGTGCTTAGACGAACTAGGTCTTCACATCACTTGTCTCGAGTTCAAGGCAGTGATCAACGCAGTCAATCACTGGAAGCATCGTCTCGTCAACGCCCGGCTCATGCTGGCGACCGACAACACGACGGTAGTGTCCTATGTGAACAAACTGGGGGGAACCCACAGTCACTCGCTACTCGATCTCACGTTCGAGTTTTACGCTCTGGTGGACAGTGTCCCGTGCCAGATACGCGCCCGTCACATCCCAGGTGTGCGGAACGTACTGGCCGATGCTCTATCGAGGCCTCAGGATCCGAGCCCCACAGAGTGGATGCTGAACCCAGTAGTGTTTCAGTGGCTGTGCGAACGTTTGGGTCGTCCGATGGTCGACCTGTTCGCAACGCGGTTCAACAATCAACTCCCGTTGTTTGTATCACCAGTCCCGGTCCCGAGGGCCATCGATCACGATGCTCTCGCGTTAGACTGGACGGGCTTGGTCGCTTATGCTTACCCGCCGACAGCGTTGATACCACACATTCTAAGCCGGCTCCGAGGAGTTCGCTGTCGAATGTTACTGATCGCGCCCATGTGGCCGAACAGATCGTGGTACCCCGACTTGCTGACCCAGGTCACGCAGTCGCCACTTCCACTGCCTGTGAGACCGGATCTCTTGATCCACCCTCACACCCGTCAGCTTCGTCCAAACGCAGGGCAGTTCAATCTGCACGCGTGGATGTTGTCACCGAGCGTCTGAGGAGTAAAGTTTTTTCTCGCCGGGCGTCTCGGGCATACGTTAGTATGCATCGTGATTCTACCCAGAAGGTGTATAATGCACGTTGGGTTATTTTCACGAAGTGGTGTTGTAAACATCACATTCATTCGCCAGATAAGGTATCTGTGCAGGATATTGCTCGTTTCATGTCTCACTTGCGAGAGACCTGGAAACTCTCCGGGGGTTCCATTGCCAACTATGTCTCGTCCGTTGCTACGGTACGGGACGTTGCTATGGGTACCAGTCTCTCCAAAGAGCCGGTGATACGGGGTATTATCAAGGGTTTCAAACAGCACGATCTTAAGAAGGGCCGCCTTCGGGCACCGGCCTGGGATCTTTCCCTAGTGTTGCAATCACTTACGGAAGCTCCGTATGAACCCTTGCATAGTGCTTCGTTCCGGCATGTGACTTGGAAAACAGCATTTCTCCTCTCCTTTGCCACGGCGGCACGTGTATCCAAAATTCATGCACTCGATGTCGCCAAGGTACGATTCGATAGGGGTGACGAAGGAGCGGTCCGCCTGGGCCTGCTCATGGGCTTCGTCGCCAAGAATCAGAGAGTCGGGCAAACGGAGAGAGAATTCACTGTAAGATCACTCAAAGAAATCTTACATCCTGCTGATACTGAGGACAGAGCGCTGTGTCCGGTTAGGGCCCTTAAGTATTATCTTAAGGCTTCGAATGAACGTAGACAAGGGCCTGACCGTCTGTTCATATCGTGTAACCCTAATCGCACGGTTGCCATACCTCGCAACTCGATTGCGTTGTGGCTTCGTTCTGTCATCAATCTGGCGTACCGGTCTCGGGGGTTACCGGTAGCGGGGTCAAACCCGCACGAGATCAGGGCGCTAGCGGCAACATTTGCCCTACACTCGAATATCTCTGTTCGCAGAATATTACGAGGTTGTTACTGGCGTTCTGACTCGGTTTTTGCCAATCATTACCTCAAACAGGTCGCTGATGCCGTCGTGGAGAGTGTGCACCGTCTTGGCCCGCGGATCGCGGCGCAAGCGGGCACCTAAGGGGTGTGCCCAGCGCAATTCCGAACTCCTCAGGCGTCTGACCTTGCACGGTGGTCAATCTGGGTCTACTCCAATGTTCCCACTGCCGTGGGTACAGGAGTTGGGGTCCCGCAAACCAGCGCACTCACACCACAGGTGAGGGCGGCTTTTTGTGTGCTTTGTCCTTATTTGTATTTTGACAATTATGTCTTTAATTGTCTGTCGTGTATCCCAACCTTGTGATGCATGCTTACAAATACTGGAATTAGGTCACGCGCCTAATGCATACTTTAAGTAGGCTTGCTCTGGGATATACGGTCTGAATGAAATTAATTTCCCTCTTTTCGACTGTTTAACCTGATCTAAGATTAAGCTCACGCGGATACAGTGTTCTCATCCGCTGCGGCGATGAAATACCTATCCAGTGGGGCCGTTTGGAGTCACCAATCGTTTTGGCAATGACGATTGAGCCTTACGGTATGCGCTTGACAGTGCTTTGGTATTCCTATAGGGTAACGCCTAGCTAGGTGCATGCGCATCGAGTGCTTCCGCCTTGGTGTTTACTTCCGCTGGTCGGAAGGAACGCTAGCAGTCAGGATTCGGGTTGTAGGTGCTCCCCACCGCCTACTGTGGTAGTCAGCCTCGGTATAACAGTGGTAACGTATTACTTAATGTAATTTGTAGAATTTTCCTATTCGGAATATTCTATAAGTAATACGTTACCACTGGGCTGCTGCCCGCCCGTCCGTCCCCCGAGCACTTGCTCTCGCAGGAGACAAGAGTGAAGGGTGTCACATGGCAGCTAGGTGGCTACGCACGTGCTGCATGAGGTAATTGAGATCTCTGTGGTAGATTTCGCTATAGCAGCAGTTGTGGGAGACAACAGCCTCGGTATAACAGTGGTAACGTATTACTTATAGAATATTCCGAATAGGAAAATTCTACAACATTCTTGGGGAAGCAGGTACACATGGTAACATTCCGGGGGAAGCAGGTACATGTGGTAACATTCCGGGGGAAGCAGGTTCACATGGTAACATTCTGGGGAAGCAGGTACACATGGTAACATTCCGGGGGAAGCAGGTTCACATGGTAACATTCTTGGGGAAGCAGATACACATGGTAACATTCCGGGGGAAGCAGGTACACATGGTAACATTTTGGGGGAAGCAGGTACACATGGTAACATTCCAGGGGAAGCAGGTACACATGGTAACATTCTTGGGGAAGCAGATACACATGGTAACATTCCAGGGAAGCAGGTACACATGGTAACATTCCAGGGGAAGCAGGTACACATGGGAACATTCCGGGGGAAGCAGATACACATGGTAACATTCTGGGGAAGCAGGTACACATGGTAACATTCCGGGGGAAGCAGGTTCACATGGTAACATTCTTGGGGAAGCAGATACACATGGTAACATTCTTGGGGAAGCAGGTACACATGGTAACATTTTGGGGGAAGCAGGTACACATGGTAACATTCCAGGGGAAGCAGGTACACATGGTAACATTCTTGGGGAAGCAGATACACATGGTAACATTCCAGGGAAGCAGGTACACATGGTAACATTCCAGGGGAAGCAGGTACACATGGGAACATTCCGGGGGAAGCAGATACACATGGTAACATTCCAGGGGAAGCAGGTACACATGGTAACATTCCAGGGAAGCAGGTACACATGGTAACATTCTTGGGGAAGCAGGTACACAAGGTAACATTCCAGGGAAGCAGGTACACATGGTAACATTCTTGGGGAAGCAGGTACACATGGTAACATTCTTGGGGAAGCAGGTACACATGGTAACATTCAGGAGGAGGAGGAACATTCTGGGAAAGCGGGTACATGTGGTAACAATCTATAGTTGCAAATTCACATCATTACATCATTTCTTCTTATTTGGTCTCCGAATACACTCCGTCATTTTCCAAAAAGCTCTGTCCACACTTGCCCTATCAATATGCCATGCCTGCTGTGCTGCAGATGACCTGTACGGAGACTTTGAGGACCTGGAGACCGGGGAAGTCCATAAGGGGAAGACCGATGGAGAGGAGGAGGAGGAGGACAAAGATCTTGAAGGTGAAGGAGAGAAGAAAGAAGGTAGGTGAAAAGAGATGGATCATTGCAGGAGTGAAACATGAGATGCTTATGAACTTTGGTGGGTGTTGAAGTACACTGACAAAGATAAAGATTGTACGAACATGAATGAGAGGTGTCACATTTGCTAAGTGAGCTTCCATTGCCATTCCAGTGTGAACTAGGTTCCAAAGTACCTAATGCTTTTCATGAATGGTTAAGGGGCGGTCGGGTAGCCCTGTGGTCAAAGCGTTCGCTCGTCACGCCGAAGACGGGGGTTTGATTCCCGACATGGGTACAATGTGTGAAGCCTATTTCTTGTGTCCCCCGCCGTGATATTGCTGGAATACTGCTAAAAGCAGCGTAAAACCATACTCACTCACTCACTCATGAATGGTTAATGACTTTGTTAGGTCCTAACTTAACACACTCTCAGTAACAACCATCAGTTTGTCACATCAAGACCAGATATGTCCTCTTTCAACCACTTGTCATTACCAGACCCACTCTCACCACAGGCTTGTTCTTTCATGACCAAATTTACTCTGTAGCCTCCGTGATGTGTCCTAGATATTGAAGCCATGATATTCACCCTACCTGTCTACAGTCAAACAGGTGAGGCCAGGTGCTGTTGTCAGTTCTTGATCCTATTTATCTTCCTGTCTTCAGGTGAGGGAGAGGAGACTAAGAAGAAGATTAAAGCAGAAATGACGGCAGCTGAGCGTCGAGTAGAGAAGAAGAGAAAACTCAAGGAGATGTTCGACCAGGAGTATGACATGAAAGGAGACTCTGAGTTCTATGATACGTGGAAGGCAGACCTGCAGAAACAGTCCGAGGTAAGGAGACTCTGAGTTCTATGATATGTGGAAGGCAGACCTGCAGAAACAGTCCGAGGTAAGGAGACTCTGAGTTCTATGATACGTGGAAGGCAGACCTGCAGAAACAGTCCGAGGTAATCATGGCATGACTGTCACGTCTTTGAATCAATTACCACTTGATGCCTACATGGTGTAGTAGAGCGGTTGCTTGCAGAGCGGAAAGTCCGTTCCATCCCTGTCTGCGTCATATAAGACATTAAAAGATGGTCCTTGTTGTTGCCCTGCCTCGCTCTGGGCATTTAAGGGAATAAAACAAGGTGGACTCGCGGGCAGTATGATGTGTCTGAGTGGGGTATCCCTGTTAAACTCTGGCATCGCTATGTGAGTGCAATAATTTTACACGCAATGGTTTGAACCCCATTTCACATCCCAATCACCTGTCATGGAAATCTGCTCATGATGTGAATCACTGGATTGTCTGGTCCAGACTCGATTATTTACATACCCCTGTCATATGGCTGGAATATTGCTGAGTGTTGCATTATACAAGAAACAAACAAACAAAAACTTGGTTCTGGTATGTTTAACAAACAAGCTCTCTCTCTCTCTCTCTCTCTCTCTCTCTCTCTTCTCTCTCTCTCTCTCTCTCTTCTCTCTCTCTCTCCCTCTCTCTCTCTCTCTCTCCCTCTCTCTCTCTCTCTCTCTCTCTCTCTCTGTCTCTCATTTTGAGAAGTGTTCTGAATTCACTTGCATTCCTCCTGCTTCTTTACAGCTAAATAGAGCCGAGTTTGAGGGCCTTGGAGACGAGCAGAGGGTTCATTTTGAAGGCTTCCGTCCTGGGATGTACGTCCGGATGGAGATTAACAACATGCCATGCGAGTTTGTGGAGAACTTTGACCCTTCCTATCCTGTGGTGCTGGGTGGTCTGCAGAATGTAGAGGTCAACATTGGATATGTACAGGTAGGGGGGAGGGGTTTACTGGGTGGATGAGTGGCGGCTTGGGAGAGAGAGAGAGAGAGTGAGTGAGAGCGAGAGAGAGTGTGTGAGGGAGAGAGGGAGTGTGAGAGAGAGGAAAGAGTGTTAGAGAGAGTGAGGAGAGAGAGAGTGTGAGAGAGAGATGGTGTGTGAATAAGAGAATTATTGGGAAGGCGAGTGTTGTTGTGACACATAGTGATTGATTTGGTGAGTGAGAAAGATGGGAATGAGTGAGCGAGTGCGTTTTATAAGTTGTAGCAGGATCACGAGGAGTACATGGGATTTTATCTGTCCTGCTTGTGGTTTTCTACCACAAGCCAGACACTACCATGGGTAAGGTGTAAGGTATAAGTGTAAAGTTTAAAGTGTGAAGTATGTGCTGCGTAGCTATCATGCTGTCCCCTGTTTCCAGGCTAGGGTCAAGAAGCACAGATGGTACAAGAAGATTTTGAAGACCAGAAATCCTCTGATTGTCTCCCTTGGGTGGCGGAGATTCCAAACTATGCCACTGTATTCGATCCAGGATCACAACCTCCGCAACAGATTGCTGAAATATACGCCAGAACATCTTCACTGTCATGCATCGTTCTGGGGTGAGTTCCATCATGAGGGAGCCATCATGTTTTCAACAAGTTGTAAGGAAAACATCAACTCATGCTTTGTTTTATGACTTTTCTACTGAGATATACTACTAAAGAGAAGTTAAGGAACACCAGATTCTTTCACATTGTAATAGTTAATCTGTGCCATGATATGAAAGAATCATGTGTCTTTAACTTCTTTTGAGTAGTATATTTCATATAGTTCTTATGACTCATGAAGATCCAGGGTAGAATATGTTTTTAGCGACCCATGCTTGCCGTAAAAGGCGACTTTGCTTGTCGTAAGAGGTAACTAACGGGATCGGATGGTCAGGCTGGCTTACTTGGTAGATGCATGTCATCGTATCCCAATTGTGTGGATCAATGCTCATGATGTTAACCACTGGATTGGCTGGTCCAGACTTGATTATTTGGAGACCCCCATCATATAGCTGGAATATTGCAGAGTGTTGCATTATACAAGAAACAAACAAACAAAAACTTGGTTCTGGAATGTTAATCCTGCTGTGTGTTTCAGGGCCTATAACCCCCCAGGGATCCGGCATCCTGGCTGTGGAGAGTGTCTCCGATGTCACTGTGAGTAATCTCAGTGTAGAAAATATTTTATATATATTTGTAAGGGTGTTTACCTCAAGAATGTGGCATATGATATTCATATCACTAATGATGTTTTGTAGACTGTCAACTTTTGCTAAGGTTTTTAAGACACTAATACCTTGAACAATTTGCTTTGTTTCCTCAAAGTTCAAGAAGGAAAAAGGATGCAATTGTCTTGAGATGCCAAGAATTATGGGAATGTTTGATCTAGTTTGGGAAATGGTTAACTTGAAGATGATCTCTTTTTCAAGATAACAGGGGCATTGGGGTAGCCTTGTGGTTAATGTGTTTGCTTATCACGCCAAATGCCTGGGTTCAATTCTCCACAAGGGGTACATTGTGTGAAGCCTTTTTTTTCCTCATCTTCCAAAGGCAAGCATGTCCACTAGTCTATATTGTATTTGCAGGCCAAGTTCCGTATAGCTGCTACTGGGGTGATCCTGGAACTGGACAAATCGATGCAAATTGTGAAGAAACTGAAGCTGACTGGCACTCCCAATAAGGTCTTCAAGAAGACAGCATTTATTGAGGTTGGTATATAACGGAATTAAGATAAACTGTACCGGCATTGTACCATTAACTCAGAGCACATCTTCCTGAGGTAAGGGAATTACCTGACTATGAATGTCCAGTTGCCACCCTTGCCAAACGAGGCTGGAATTCCGGAGTTACATTTTGGTTGGACTAACGAGTCTATGCAAAGTCCAATCAAAATTGCTTAACGAACTAGACACCCTGTTCGTAAACAACATGCAGTTTTCGGTCGACTGAAGGATTTGCAAAGCATGTGTACCGCCAGCTGGGCGTCGACAGATATTTTGCAAATCTTTTCAAATATTTATTGAAGGTGTTCAAGTGATTTGATCCACTTTGCAAGGTAAGGCCCGTTGTTCAGATCGCCTTGACTGGGTGCCGCCATTTTGTTTGAAACAAATGCACTTAATATGAGTGATGGAATCTGATTGGTCAATAGGAGGAACATAGAAGGGACATAACCCATAATAGCCACTGGTGGCGCTACGATCAAACCTTGAATTTCGAGCCTATTTCGGCAAGGGTGGAAACTGGACTTTTATAGTCAGTTAACGCCCTTGCCTCAGGAAGATGCTCATAGCAGTGATACTAGATGCTTATTCGACTGCAGTCCCGGGAATAGCTCCTTTATGTGCCTCCTAGTGCCAATTTCTGTTCCTGTTTTACCAAAAGCTGCATGGTTTTTACAGGGAATGTTCAACTCGGCGCTAGAGGTGGCCAAGTTCGAGGGTGCCAGTATTCGGTCAGTCAGTGGCATCAGAGGTCAGATCAAGAAAGCTCTCAAGACACCCGAGGGGGCATTCAGGGCGACCTTCGAGGACAAGATCTTGATGAGTGGTCAGTTCAGGTCACATACAAATAGTTCAGGTCACATACAAATAACGCAATATATTTACGATGACCCTTAGCATCCTTGGGTTGTAATTGGTCCCCGGCAACCTATGCTGCTCGTAAGAGTCCACCAGATGGATCGGATGGACAGACTAAGTGTCTGGGTTGATTGCATGCATTCGTACCCTGATGGTGTTGATTGATGCTCACAATATTGATCACTGGATTTTCTGGCCCAGATTCAATTATTTACAGACCACCATCATAGCTGGAATATTGCTGAGTGCGGCGTTAAACAAACGTCTTCGTACCCATGTCAGACCTAGAGACTGGTTTCTTATTTTGCAGTGATACTATTAACTGTTTTGTTTTTTTTTAAATTAGGTAAAAAAGGTAGATTTTAGAGACATTGTTTTGACAAAAACATGACTTCTAAGTTAAGCAGTAAATACTGTAAAGCTCAGTCAGTCACTCAAATCACACAACCACGCACTCAGAGAGTCGCATGTAGCTATTATCTCCCCTGACTGTTCAACATCTCCGTTATTCCCCAGACATCGTGTTTGTGAGGACGTGGTTCCAGGTTGAGGTACCCAAGTTCTTCAACCCTGTCACATCACTCCTCCTTCCCAAGGCAGACAAGAGTCGGTGGGAGGGCATGAAGACCGTCGGACAGCTACGCTATGAGTTGGGGGTGTCGGTGCCACAGAAAGGGGACTCCCGGTACAAGGTAGGCAGTGAAATAGCAAGCATTTGGGAGCATATCTAATCCTGATGTTAATACTCCAGGTTTAGTGTCGGGACAAACACCAATTGTATGTAATTAATGCTCAGTTGACAGGATTTGTATGTAATTAATGCTCAGTTGACAGGATTTGTATGTAATTAATGCTCAGTAGACAGGATTTGTATGTAATTAATGCTCAGTAGACAGGATTTGTATGTAATTAATGCTCAATCGACAGGATTTGTATGTAATTAATGCTCAGTTGACAGGATTTGTATGTAATTAATGCTCAGTTGACAGGATTTGTATGTAATTAATGCTCAATAGACAGGATTTGTATGTAATTAATGCTCAGTTGACAGGATTTGTATGTAATTAATGCTCAGTTGACAGGATTTGTATGTAATTAATGCTCAGTAGACAGGATTTGTATGTAATTAATGCTCAATAGACAGGATTTGTATGTAATTAATGCTCATTAGACAGGATTTTTATGTAATTAATGCTCAATAGACAGGATTTGTATGTAATTAATGCTCAGTAGACAGGATTTGTATGTAATTAATGCTCAGTAGACAGGATTTGTATGTAATTAATGCTCATTAGACAGGATTTGTATGTAATTAATGCTCAATAGACAGGATTTGCATGCTGGGATAGCCTGGATGTTAAAGCATGCTTTCATCAAATAGAAAACTGGGTTTGGTTCTTCATGTGTGCAGCCTATTCATTCCTCTGTGATATTAACTGTTTAATTGGCAGTCTAGAAGTTGGCAAATAATTATGAAAAATGTACAACTCTATGGATAACAACTTCTGGTTTATTGCGTTTACCCACACTGTATCACGTTGTAAGAATCTACATCGAAACATCGCTAAATGCAATTAAGGAGAAGTTGTTATCCATAAAGTTGTACGTTTCTCTTAACTCTCTGATATTGTTAGAATATTGTTAAAGTGGCATCAAACCAAACACGCTCACTCGGTCAGTCCTACACTGTCCATGTTAAGAAATACACAGCCTTTGAAATTCACGCTGGTCTGCTGGCCTACTTAATGGTGATGAGGACAAGTGACTATTCAATGGTGGTAGTTCAAGTAACGTTTGTGGGATGTATATAGAAACTGAGAGACCATCCAAATAAAGATGAATGTTTTATTTTTCACAGAAAATAGAGCGAATGCCGAAGAGACTGAAGCCGCTGATCATCCCCCGGGACCTTCAGCAGCGGCTGCCGTTCAAGGACACGCCGAAAGAGTTGCTGAGTCTGCCGGACCCTGTCAAGCGAGTGTCCATCATCAGGGAGCCTAAAGAAGCCAAGGTAGGATGATGGTAGAATAGGTACTCTGAGCACACTTGAATCAGGCATCTTACAGTACTCAGACTACTTGGAGTGCCGATACATATAAACATGTCCAGCTTACGTATTCCTGGGACCCATGTCACAAAGGGAGTGGCACTAGGACTGTCGTAACTCCCATCGTTTCATCTCCCCAAGGCAAGGGAGTGAACTGAGTATAGAAGTCCAGTTTCCACCCTTGCCAAACTAGGTGGAATTTCTGGGCTCGATTGTAGTGCCACCAGTGGCTATTGTGAGTTATGTCCCTTCTATGTCCCTCCTATTGACCAATCAGATTCCACCTCTCACATCACTTGCATTTGCTTTAAACAAAATGGTGGCATCCAGTCAAGCTGATCTGATCGATGATCAAGATCTCTATAGTGTAATATAACGAGACTTACCTCAATAAGTGCATGATATCACCTGAGCACCTTGATTAAAAACATGCAACGATTTGGCAAATATCTGTCGATGCCCAATTGGTGATAATCCTGACACAGGTGTAAAATGTATGTGGTCCAGGGTGTTGCTGAAGTCATTTTCAATTTCAGGGACAACTGAGTTGTTTGCTCTGATGGGATGATTTCCCACTTTAGAATGGGGAGCTTTGCTGTTCTGAACCAATCAAAAAGTTTTTTACTGATTCGGATGCGAGAGAATTGATCATATAACTGCGAAAACAGAAATAAATAAGAAGGACAATGTAGGATACCAGCCCTTTTTTATCCAAAAGATCTGCATAGTTTAAACGTTCAGAAACAGTTATGCCTTTTTCACACAGTTTGGCCATATGTCTATTTTACCATGTCAGTGTCCGCCCGGAGAACGTAAGGTTCAGGGTAAGATCCCTGGCCGCGTCGTACCAAAAGAGATTTAAAGGTGGTACTTGTTGTTACTCTGGCTGATGCTCGTCATTAAGGGCCTAAAACAAGGACTGGTCTCCTCGGAGTCAGTATACTGTGTCTGAGTGGGTTATTCATGTGGCACGATATCTCAGTGGGCTAGCACTATGAAATCGATGTTAGTCCAGACTAGTACAATAAGTGCAATAATCTTGGAAACCCCATTTCACCTCATCTCACCTCCATGTATAAGAAAGGGGCAGTCGGGTAGCCTAGTGGTTAAAGCGTTTGCTCGTCACGCGAAAGACCCTGGTTCGATTCCCGACATTGGTACAATGTGTGAAGCCCATGTCTGGTGTCCCCCGCCGTGATATTGCTGGAATATAGCTGAAAGCGGCGTAAAACTATACTCACTCACTCACTCACTCCAAGTATAAGAAAGAAAATCGGTTATTGGTAAACCTTTTGAACATGTCTGATAATTTTCACAGAAGTATTTCAGATTTTAATGTTTGACATTTCTGGTGGGCCAAAGATGGTCCTTATGCTACCCCTTCTTTTTGGATGTAGCCATCCTTTCAGTTTTTTGAATGAGGTGATTTGTACTGTTTATTGTGTATAGTTTTGGGGTTATATTACATTAAGTAATACGTTACCACTGTTATACCGAGGCTGTTGTCTCCCACAACTGCTGCTATAGCGAAATCTACCACAGAGATCTCAATTACCTCATGCAGCACGTGCGTAGCCACCTAGCTGCCATGTGACACCCTTCACTCTTGTCTCCTTCGTCTGCTTAGCAAGACGTGTTTTCTCCTGCTGAAGCGTTCCTGGAAGATTTGGTGATATTTATTATAGTTTATTCTCTAATAAACTGTGCTTTTATGGGGCGTTGCGGTAGCTACGCTTGGTTATAATTTTCCCGCCAAACGGAAAATTTTTCCCGCCCTTTTTTCTCTATACTTGCGGGGTTCGCGTATGCACGTTGTGTTTTACGTTTCCCCTGTTCTTGTATGTTTTGGGGGTTAACATAACTTATTTCTTTAATAATTATTTCTTTAATAAAAGTTATATGTGTATGTTATATGTTCACATTGCTCGTTTATTTTCTTGTGAAAATGCTCGTTTGTGAATCGTTGTGGTGCGTGCGTTGTAACCATGTTTTGTTCTTTGTTTATAGAAAACAATGTCTGACATGGATATGTCCCCAGTATCCACCCCCTCTACCCCTGCTCCTCGGAGTTGTGGGGTGTGCAGAAAGTTTTTGTCATCCCGGGATCCCCACGATCGTTGCCCGCGGTGCAGGGTTCCTTGCGGGGACACCCGGTGTACCCTGTGCGAAGGTCTGGGGCCTGCGGAGATTGAGCGGTACCGGCTGTACGTACAGTCCGTCTCCACCCCTGTGGTGGCCGGTTCGTCCGGTCGGGGTCCCCGTGCGGGTACCACCTCCTCGGCTGCGGCGGATCCCCTTGCGGCCCTCGGGCTGTCTGGGGCTTCCGTCGCCGCATTATTGTCGAAACTTGTGGACTCCAAGCTGGCGGCCTTATCGCAAGATAGGCCGCTGGCTGTTCCGTCCCCGGCCTCTTCGGTGGCCGCGGGTTCGGACGCGGGGTCCACCGGTACGGCGGCGGCTGCCGTGGTTACCGGTCCTTCCCCCGAACCGTTGCTTCCGCTATCGGTTAAGGACCGCGTTGCCATGGTGTATGACCTCTTCGAGGACATGCCAAAGCCCCTGCCGATACCGCGGGGAATCCACGGTTCCGTGGGTTCCTCCGAGGTATACGACGAGACGTCCGACAAGGCTTTCCCGGCATCAACCTTGCTGCGCGGGATTAAGCCTTCTTTGGAGAAGGCCTTCACGGCTGCCTCCGGTCGGGGTCTCCCGTTACCTCCCCCGTCGTGGAGAAAAGGGTCTTTCCCAGTACATGACCTTGCCTTTCCCGAGGCTGGTCCTTCTGCGGAAGCCCATGTGGAGCGTTTGGGGGTCCGTGCCCCACCGGTTGCCACGGTACCACAAGGTACCTTGCAACAGCTGGACACCCTCGCTCGACACTCCATGCTGGCAATGTCTCACGGAGACACATACCTGGCTGCAGCGGCCAGTCTGGTCGAAGGTTCTCCCACGGACCGAGACCAGCGCATTTACAACTGCTTGCTCGGTTTGAATGCTTCCCTGGAGTACGTTGCCGGGGCTTCGGCCTTTGTTTCCGGCACGTGCCATTTTCTTCGGCGCCAGTCGTATCTGGTTGCTTCAGGGTTGGACGCTGCTAATCAGGAGGTGCTCCTTTCGCAGCCTTGGTCTGCTCGGACCCTGTTTAATAACAAGATCCCTGGGGTTCTGAAGGAACAACAGGCCGCTGTGTCTGCCGAGGCCTCTCGGCACACACTGGATCTTGTGGGGTCCTTGCATAGGCGCCTGGGTGCCGCTCCGAAGCGGAGCGCGCCCCAGGATGCTGCATCCGGCAGGCCTAAGGGGTCGGGTCCTTCTTCCTCCGGGAAGAAGCCCCGCTCTGAGGGCTCCGGTAAGGGTTCTCAGCAGCCCTTTCGCGGGAAGAAGGGGAACTGGGGGAAGCCCAAGTCGTCTAAGGACGGCAAGGGCCCCTCCAGGTGACTCTCATTGGAGGGGTTCGTATGCCGACAGCGCCAACTTCGGTTGGCCCGTAGGCGAACCCGAGTCACTTGGCCCTGGACAGTTGCGCCTGCCGCAGCCCGTCCGGCCCCCCTCTCTTTCCCCAGTGGGAGCCAGACTCCAGACTTACTGGGAGAATTGGGAACAAGTGTTTGACGACCCGTGGGTGGTCAACACGATTCGGTACGGCTATCGGCTCGATCTCATAGCGAATCCGCCGCTCACCGTTGCCCCGTCGGCAGGTTTCTATTCGGAAACCGATCTTCCCTTCCTCGCCGATGCCATCGGCAGGTTGGTGGAGAAGAGGGCAGTTCGGGAGTTAGCTCTACCAGAAATAACACCGGGGTTTTACTCCAGGATATTTCTCGTTCCCAAGAAGGACAGTGCCGAACTCAGAATGATTCACAACTTGAAATCGTTCAACGAGTTCTACCTGCGCAAACCGCCCAAGTTCAGAATGTTGAGCTTGACGGACCTGAAAGCACTGATCATGCCGGCCGACTGGCTAGCTTCGATCGACCTGAAGGATGCTTATCTGCATGTTCCGATTCACTCGGATCATCAGAAGTATCTCAGGTTTGTCTTTCAAGGCAGGCACTACGAGTGGGTTGTACTCCCATTCGGTCTTTCATCCGCTCCCTGGCTGTTCACCCGGTTAACCACCCCCATAGTGGGGTTCCTCCACCGGAGGGGTGTCCGGTACTTCGCGTACCTGGACGACTCGCTAGTAGCAAATCGAATGTCGGACACCCTGTCACGCCATCTCGTTTTCGCACGTCGGCTCTTGGAGCAATTGGGGTGGATTGTCAATCTCCCCAAGAGCGAGTTATCCCCTTCTCAGAACTTGCAGTTCATCGGAGGTCGGTTCAACACGGTGTCCCATCGCCTATTTGTCCCCCCAGACCGGTGGCACAAAATTCAGGCGATGATTGCCAAAGTCTTAGCGGTGCAACAGACTGTTCACTTTTGGGAACAGCTGTTAGGGCTACTTGTATCAGCCCAGGACTGCACCGAACGGGGTCGTCTCCAACTCCGCCCGCTGCAACGGTTTTTAATCCAGTTGTTAGCAACGGAGGTGAACAGTGCGACCGTCGCCCTCCCGGATCGGCTCCGACCGCATCTGGAGTGGTGGACGCTCCCTTACAATGTCTTATCAGGAGTCTCTATGCGGCCCTACCGGGCCACGTTGAACCTGTATACAGACGCCTCTCTAGTGGGCTGGGGCGCCCATCTAGAGGGGGAGGTGAGCTCGGGGCTGTGGTGCGTAGACGAACTAGGTCTTCACATCAATTGTCTCGAGTTCAAGGCAGTGATCAACGCAGTCAATCACTGGAAGCATCGTCTCGTCGACGCCCGGCTCATGCTGGCGACCGACAACACGACGGTAGTGTCCTATGTGAACAAACTGGGGGGAACCCACAGTCACTCGCTACTCGATCTCACGTTCGAGTTTTACGCTCTGGTGGACAGTGTCCCGTGCCAGATACGCGCCCGTCACATCCCAGGTGTGCGGAACGTACTGGCCGATGCTCTATCGAGGCCTCAGGATCCGAGCCCCACAGAGTGGATGCTGAACCCAGTGGTGTTTCAGTGGCTGTGCGAACGTTTGGGTCGTCCGATGGTCGACCTGTTCGCACCACGGTTCAACAATCAACTCCCGTTGTTTGTATCACCAGTCCCGGACCCGAGGGCCATCGATCACGATGCTCTCGCGTTAGACTGGACGGGCTTGGACGCTTATGCTTACCCGCCGACAGCGTTGATACCACACATTCTAAGCCGGCTTCGAGGAGTTCGCTGTCGAATGTTACTGATCGCGCCCATGTGGCCGAACAGATCGTGGTACCCCGACTTGCTGACCCAGGTCACGCAGTCGCCACTCCCACTGCCTGTGAGACCGGATCTCTTGATCCACCCTCACACCCGTCAGCTTCATCCAAACGCAGGGCTGTTCAATCTGCACGCGTGGATGTTGTCACCGAGCGTCTGAGGAGTAAAGGTTTTTCTCGCCGGGCGTCTCGGGCATACGTTAGTATGCATCGTGATTCTACCCAGAAGGTGTATAATGCACGTTGGGTTATTTTCACGAAGTGGTGTTGTAAACATCACATTCATTCGCCAGATAAGGTATCTGTGCAGGATATTGCTCGTTTCATGTCTCACTTGCGAGAGACCCGGAAACTCTCCGGGGGTTCCATTGCCAACTATGTCTCGTCCGTTGCTACGGTACGGGACGTTGCTATGGGTACCAGTCTCTCCAAAGAGCCGGTGATACGGGGTATTATCAAGGGTTTCAAACAGCACGATCTTAAGAAGGGCCGCCTTCGGGCACCGGCCTGGGATCTTTCCCTAGTGTTGCAATCACTCACGGAAGCTCCGTATGAACCCTTGCATAGTGCTTCGTTCCGGCATGTGACTTGGAAAACAGCATTTCTCCTCTCCTTTGCCACGGCGGCACGTGTATCCGAAATTCATGCACTCGATGTCGCCAAGGTACGATTCGATAGGGGTGACGAAGGAGCGGTCCGCCTGGGCCTGCTCATGGGCTTCGTCGCCAAGAATCAGAGAGTCGGGCAAACGGAGAGAGAATTCACTGTAAGATCCCTCAAAGAAATCTTACATCCTGCTGATACTGAGGACAGAGCGCTGTGTCCAGTTAGGGCCCTTAAGTATTATCTTAAGGCTTCGAATGAACGTAGACAAGGGCGTGACCGTCTGTTCATATCGTGTAACCCTAATCGCACGGTTGACATAACTCGCAACTCGATTGCGTTGTGGCTTCGTTCTGTCATCAATCTGGCGTACCGGTCTCGGGGGTTACCGGTAGCGGGGTCAAACCCGCACGAGATCAGGGCGCTAGCGGCAACATTTGCCCTACACTCGAATATCTCTGTTCACAGAATATTACGAGGTTGTTACTGGCGTTCTGACTTGGTTTTTGCCAATCATTACCTCAGAAAGGTTTCTGATGAAGACGTGGAGGGGGTGCACCGTCTTGGGCCGCTGATCGCGGCACAAGCGGTCATCTAGGGGGTGTGTCCAGCGCAATTCCAAACTCCGCAGTCGTCAGTCCTTGCACGGTGGTCAATCTGGGTCGTCTCCAATGTTCCCACGCCGTGGGTACAGGAGTGGGGGTCCTGCAAACCAGCGCACTCACACCACAGGTGAGGCGGCTTTTTGTGTGTTTTGTCCTTATTTGTATTTTGACAATTATGCATTTAATTGTCTGTCGTGTATTCCAACCTTGCGATACATGCTTACGAATACTGGAATTAGGTCACGCGCCTAATGCATACTTTAAGTAGGCTTGCTCTGGGATATACGGTCTGAAGGAAATTAATTTCCCTCTTTTCGACTGTTTAACCTGATCTAAGATTTAGCTCACGCGGATACAGTGTTCTCATCCGCTGCGGCGATGAAATACCTATCCAGTGGGGCCGTTTGGAGTCACCAATCGTTTTGGCATTGACGATTGAGCCTTACGGTATGCGCTTGACAGTGCTTTGGTATTCCTATAGGGTAACGCCTAGCTAGGTGCATGCGCATCGAGTGCTTCCGCCTTGGTGTTTACTTCCGCTGGTCGGAAGGAACGCTAGCAGTCAGGATTCGGGTTGTAGGTGCTCCCCACCACCTACTGTGGTAGTCAGCCTCGGTATAACAGTGGTAACGTATTACTTAATGTAATTTGTAGAATTTTCCTATTCGGAATATTCTATAAGTAATACGTTACCACTGGGCTGCTGCCCGCCCGTCCGTCCCCCGAGCACTTGCTCTCGCAGGAGACAAGAGTGAAGGGTGTCACATGGCAGCTAGGTGGCTACGCACGTGCTGCATGAGGTAATTGAGATCTCTGTGGTAGATTTCGCTATAGCAGCAGTTGTGGGAGACAACAGCCTCGGTATAACAGTGGTAACGTATTACTTATAGAATATTCCGAATAGGAAAATTCTACAAAATTACAGCATGATTCTCTGCTTTAATGTTTCTTACCACTGTGATGTTGTGCATTCAAACATACTTCTCAACATGTAGACAATTGCCTCTCTTCAGGTTGCCAAGGTGATGAAGATGATGAAGACGCTGTATGAACACAAGCGCCGCTCAACGCACGTACAGATGAGGAGGCGGGCAGAGAAACACCAGCAGAACCAGGCTAAGATTGATGCGCTCAAGGACCAGAAACACCGCCAGGTGAAGAAAGACATCTACAGAATCCTTGGCAGGCTGGATGGCAGGAAGAAGCATAAGAAAGCTGGCTAATGAGCTCCACTACTTGTGGGGTAACAGCAGGATCACAGCACATAGATAGCCAGGGGCCCTTGGGGTTTCCAGGTTAACCTATGCTGGTCGTACAAGGTGAACAAATGGATCTGCTGGTCAGACTCGATGACTTGGTGCGTGTCTTTGTACCCTGAAGCATGGATTGCTGCTCACAATATCAATCACTTGTCCAGACTTGATTCTTTGCTGGCTGCTATCATATAGTTGGAATATTGCTGAGTATGGCATTAAACAACAAACACACGCTCACTCACTCAAACACACAGAGATAGATAGCCAGAGAGGTTTGTGGTCACTGCAAGGTCTCCATGGATGCAGAGTGTGAATAGGTGGATTTGTATGCCAAGATGTTGAAGGAAATTGACAAGAATGTGAATTAAACCATGCTTCGACATTTATGAAAGGATTTACATGAAATTAGAACTGTGAAACTATTACATACAGCCTTGACTGATTTATGATGGATTTGTCAATTGATTGATTTGGTTTTCCTTTATAGCTTTCCTGTGTAATAGTAAACTGAAATCATTCACACGTCACACAGAAGATGAAGGTTTCATTCCCATTGTGGACTTCATCTGTGACGCCTCTTTTGGGTGTGATCTGCCACGACTTGCTGCTGCAGTGCTCAAGTAGTGTTAAATGTCACTAAGGGTGCAAACAAGCACCTGATGAGATTTCCTTCAGGACTGAAGAGCATTTGGTATATCTTGTACATTAAGATCAAAGCTTATTTGTACATAATTCAAAATAAGAAAATAAACTATGAAGAATTCATTAGATGTTTGTTTATCCTTATTTTCTGTTTTGGGTAAATGTGAACCAATATCTCCCCTTTGGTCTATCAAAGTGGGAAATGTTTATACACTAGGCTTTCCTCCCACAATATGCTGATATATTCTTGACACAACTGACCACCTCCATGGCAAAGTGGGTAGAGCATCTGCTCAGAGGGAGGAAGGGCGGCAGTTCACTTGACGAATGCATGATACCAAAAGATGGCTTGGCATGACTAGCTGATTGATAGAACCCGGCACATTCTACCACCTGTCTAGGTGAAGTCAGAGTCGAAGTGGTGTATTGGGCAAAGGAACGCTATTCCTGGAACCCTGATCTCTCACCAATCGAGCACATGTGGGATGAGATGGATCGGCGCCTCCGACGTCAACCACGTGTTCCACAGACACTCCAGGAACTTCGAAACATGCTCCAGCAGATATGGACAGATATCCCACAGGACTTTGTGCGATGCCTGGTCCATTCCATGAGACGAAGATGTGTTGCTTGCATCGCAACCAGAGGTGGACACACACGCTATTGATTTGTAAATTGACATTTTGGCATGTTCATGGTTTTTTTTAATGAAATCACGCATTTTCTGAAGTCAGTATGGCAAATTAAACCATTTGAACCCTTACAGGAGTCTTTTATCTGTAGCAACCGAAATTGTTTCAGATTTGGTAAAAAACATAACTTTGAATTAAATCTTATTCAATGTCATAGGAAATTTTGTTCAGTATATATCTATGGTCACCGCCTTTAGTGGCAAATGCCTCGTGAATCAACCAACGGAGTTTTACCTTTTGTTTGTCGAGTGGGATAGTAGTGTACAAAGTTGAAAATCAAATGTTTTGACAAACTTGTCATACGTTCTTCTGATATCGAAAAAATGCAGGCAGATCCTTTGAGTTTTGAGAATCCTCACGGTACTAATTCCACTTGTCTCACATACGTTCTGTAAATATAGTTAAACCTTTCCTTGTATTGAAGACTATGATTAAACCTAGGGACAATAATTTGGTGGTTCGTACATTTGTTACACCCGTATTGTGTGCGTTTTTTATGGTGCTTTGGAATTCAGTAGAAGAGGAAAGGACATATCTTCAGTTTTTAGAGTCTTGTCAAAAGATGATAGTTCAGATGCCTGGTTTTTGCAGAATTCTACCTCACTTCACCCACTTGGCTGATAGGTGGCATTGAAGACAGCTGGCTGGGACAGACTGGGTTTATTCCAATTCTGTTTCAGTTTTTGCATTCTACCAATAGCATCACCCACCGACTTCAACCACTCTAAAAGTCATTCAACAGCTTCATCTTCTGTTTTGGTCCATTTGTGGGCGTCTGCTTCGACAGCTTCCTTAATGTTGTGGTCCCAACTGGTAGTAGGCTGTTGGCGATAGTTTTGTCCTTATATGAATAACTGACGAAGGTTGCCATTCAGCAATGGAGAAGTCACCTGTGATTATATGACCAACAGGTCATGATGAGTCTGTACAGCTACCAGGAGTTCAGTTTACATCATGAGCTGTCAAGGCCATGTTCTGCAATACGTCCCTACAATTGGAATGAAATGGATGAAATGGTGTTCGTATAGAAAAATAAAAGCGTCGGTGGTTCCTACAAAATGAAATATCGTGGTTCATTTTGGGAAAAATTATTTCTGTTTGAGATTGTTACTTGGGATTAAAGAAACCAAGTCCTTTTTCGCAAATTTCTAATTCATGAATGTGTAATAGTTTTCTGCTTTAGTGGAGTCTGTTTCTGGTTTGACCAAATGTTTCACAGAAATATCTATAACTATTCTTTGTAGTGGATATTGTGAGTGAGAGAGTTATATTTAACGCCGCTTTTAACAGTATTCCAGTTATATCACGGCGTGTCAGCTTAATGTGTGAGGAAAGCCCGGAGTGATGCATGTCTGGGGCGTTTACCACTTCGATGAAACCCACGTGCATGGGTATGGTGCTTACAAACCTAGAAACATAATCGGGGCGAACCGGGATTCGAACCCACAATCATAGTGGATATTGCGAGCTCTTGCAGTTAGATATGATTAATTTGTTCATGTCAATAAATTAATAACCAAACATTTTACATATAAATAAACTTTTTGGCAAGGGGCGTGAAATATAAACGTGTATTACCATGTGAGTTTTCGTGGTGTGAAATGGAAAAACGTATTCCTACCATTATCCCAGTAGCGACAAGGCACAGAGAGCTAGAATATGAAGTATTATTCTAAACGGAAAACAGTAACTGTGCTTCATATGTCGTTGTATTCTGAAGTTAAAGTATACATGTTTCAATACATATTCATGAAGACATCTGCACTTTAAGGTCGTGATTCACAATTTGCACGTGCATGTTAATGCACGGCGCACTATTTGAATGTTTGCCTGTATGTTGGGATCATGATACTTATACACGTGTTTTTTATGTGAAAATCATTATACTGATTGTTTTGTTATCGGATGCTCAAAAACACACTTTTGTTTGAACGTAAATAACGTGAAGTTGAAAGACATTTTAATGTTCATCGAAACAATATTATCTCTTTGGAGAGGGTATCTGCACTCACGACTTGCCACGGGTTGGACGTCCACCTGTGACGTCACGTCAACAAGCCAGACATATTGGTTTGGTGCATCTACGGAACATTAACATCTCGGATAATTTCTGGGTTGAGACCAATTTGTGGCTGAAAACATCCGGCCCCGACGTCCAGCGATACGCCTTATATTGCTGCCACGTCAGCGTCAAGCTGGAACCGTATACCGAGTCCAGGATTCATCTTGCAGCTCGGATTGACGTTTTAGCGACGCTTGTGTTGCTCAACCTTGTCAGTTTTGGGGTGGAAGTAAAATGGTATCGGGTGGCATCACAACTCATGAGAGACCACAACTAATATTTGTTTCTTGAATAGCGGATGCTACATTGCATCATTCGAGACCATGTTCTAACATTTGTAACATCCAGTTGCAGCAGGATAGTGCCCGCCCACATGTAACAAACTGCCATGGCCGGCTGTGTCACCAGACCTCACCCTCATGTTTGGGGGGGGGGGGGGCGGTCGGGTAGCCCAGTGGTTAAAGCGTTCGCTCGTCACGCCGAGACATGGGTACAATGTGTGAAGCCCATTTCTGGTGTCCCCCTCCGTGATATTGCTGGAATATTGCTTAAAGCGGCGTAAAACCATACTCACTCACTCACTCACTCATGTCTGGGATGTAATGAAACGACGCCAACGACAGGACCAGAACCAGCCCGTAACGCTAGCTAAGCTGGCCAATCTTTGGTTGAAATTTAAAACTGCCTGTATCAACGCAAATGGAGGCCACACCCGATATTGACATTGCTAATTGAGTTACACCACCACCCTTATAGACCTTGTCGCCCTGTCTCCTGCTACATGCATACACAGACGCACCTAATAACATTGATGTCATAGATGTCCTGAATTATCGTACCTGTACCCCAGTAATTCCATGAAGCACAGATTTCATGTAAATCAATGGAAAACATATTAATAGTCTATTTTCTCCAACTCACAATATCTTGTTGTGGTGTTGAAATAGCACTACAAAGGTTAATCGGCATTCAAGGCCAGCTGTGAATCCGTCTCATTTGCTAACGTGTTACATTACACTATACGCATGTGTGAATGATTAATTACATCTAGACTGACTGCTGACAAACATTGTGAAATAATCTACAGAAGGTGCATGCAATTGTTGTTAGATGAGTGACTGCGGGTGAAACAAATACTGTTCTGGTTAATTAGCACTAATTAGCTACAAAGATCAATCGATGTCGGATTGAGGGTGGAGGTGGGACACGCCCCACTCGCCATACACATGACATACATAGAATCCATACCGGTATAATAATTACAAGACAGATCTCCCCACAACTTATCTAACGATCGCATATATTCTGTACCCGGCTGGTGATAATATCCAATCAGCTTTCCGGCCGTGAATATTTAGGCTCCTCGTTAATATAATAACGCTTTTATGCGTTGTGACAAATACATAGTTACCATAACATCCGTAGTTTTAATTAAGCGCAACAGCGCGAAGTTGACATTTTCACACTGATTTCCCTCAGTCTTCGTATTGTACATCATACTGGCTAAATAATGATGTAAGAAACAAATGTGTAAGTTTGTCGGTTTCTTGGCAACATATGACAATAGTATGAGAGTATATAACTAATCACCCATAAGGATCAAGCAATGTGTATGTCCGCGGGGATAGCGTTTACGTTTCTTCAACGCTACATCGACTCTGATGAAAACGTCTGATATCAAGGTTCCTTTTCTGTGGCTGTTACCGGTTATTATGAATATGAATTCTTCAAGCAATGGCACATCGTCAGGAGACAACTTATTTCTGGGAATGTCATACCTCATTGTGTCCGTTTTAGTAATAACGTCAAATAGTGTGGTCGTCATCGTCATTTTCAAGTCAAGGGAACTACATATGCCAACACTGTGGATGATTGCATTCATGGCCAGCTGGGACTTGGCCTTGGGTGTCTTCTGTCTTGTGTTTGCAGCACCATCAACATTTCTGAACTATTTCCCATACCCGGATAGCCTTATTCCAGTAGCTGCGTGTATGCTGGTGTTGATAGCGTGTCAGAACGGCTTCAATATCTGTATGGTTACTGTGGATCGTTACCTAGCGATCCGTTTTCCAATGAAGTATTCAAGAATTGCCGTTACACGGAATTATCTTCTATTAGTTATTCTTTCTTTGATGCTCAACGTCTCTCACCTCCTCATTATGATGTTCACGGTGACAAAGTTCTACTTGAACACTCTAATCTGGCTCCCATATGTTGATCAAGAATCTGCTGCGGTTACATTTATAACTGGTTGTGTTCTCATCATTCCGTTTGGTACTGTGATAGGATGTTCTGTGCCGGTGTATAAAAACATCAAACACGCCAGTAAACGGATCACGTCGCAAGGCGAACAGTCGGCATCCAGCAAG